GGGGGGGGGGGAGCTGCTCCCCCCGGCCTGGGAAATCCCAAAAAATCCCAAAAAAATCCCCAAAAATTCCCCCAAAAATCCCCAAAAATTCCCCAAAATCCGCTGGCAATGGTCCTGGGGGGTCCTACCTGGAGGGGGATCCTCGAGGTGATGACTGGGGGGGAAACCCCAAAAAATCCCATTCCAAATTCCCCCCAAAAAACCCCAAAAACCCCACTGGGAACCCCCAGATCCCCCTGTCCCCCTAAACTGGCCAGGACTGCCCTAAAATGTCCCTAAACTGCCCCAAAATGGCCCCAAATACCCCAAACCTGCCCCAAATACCCCAAAACTGCCCCAAACATCCCCAGACTGCCCCAAACATCCCAAAACTGCCCTAAAATGGCCCAAAACTGCCCCAAATACCCCAAAACTGCCCCAAATACCTCAAAACTGCCCCAAATACCCCAAAACTGCCCCAAATACCCCAAAACTGCCCCAAATACCTCAAAACTGCCCCAAAATGGCCCTAAATTGCCCCAAACACCCCAAAAATGACCCAAGCACCCCAAAACAGCCTCAAACTGCCCCAAGCTGCTCTGAAATGTCCCAAAACTGCCCCAAATACCCCGAAACTGCCCCAAGATATCCCTAAACTGCCCCCAAACATCCCAAATTTGCCCCAAACACCCCAAATTTGCCCCAAACACCCCAAAATGTTCCCAACCTGCCCCCAAACACCTCAAATCTACCCCAAAACCCCCAAAATCCCAGAACTGCCCCAAAATGCTCCTAAACTGCCCCAAATACCCCAAAATTGTCCCTGAGAAGCCAGAACTGCCCCGAAATGTCCCAAACCTGCCCCAAGCACCCCAAATTTGCCCCAAACATCTTAAAACTGCCCCGGACTTCCCGAAATGTCTCAAACCTGCCCCAAACACCTCAAATCTACCCCAAAATCCCCAAACTACCCCAAAATGTCCCAAACCCGCCCCAGACACCCCAAACCTGCCCCAGACACCCCAAATTTGCCCCCAAAACTCCAAACCTGCCCCGGACTCCCAAAATGTCCCAGACCTGCCTCAACCACCCAAAACTGCCCCAATACCCTAGAACTACCCCAAAATGCTCCCAAACTGCCCCAAACATCCCAAATTCGCCCCAAACCTGCCCCGGACACCCCAAAATGTTCCAAACTTGCACCAAACATCCCAAATTTGTCCCAAACACCCCAAACCTACCCCAGAACTACCCCAAAATGCTCCCAAACTGCCCCAAACACCCCAAATTTGCCCCAAACACCCCAAAACTGCCCCGGACTCCCCATAATGTCCCTAAAGCTGCCTCAAACACCCCAAAACTGCCTCAAACACCTCAAATCTACCCCAAAATCCCCCAAGACCTCAGAACTAACACAAAATGCTCCCAAACTGCCCCAAACACCCCAAACCTGCCCCGGACTGCCAAAATCTGCCCCAAACACCCCAAATTTGCCCCAAACCCCCCAAATTTACCCCAAACACCCCAAACCCGCGCCGGACGCCCCAAATTTACCCCATGCACCCCAAACCTGTCCCGGCCCCCCCATCCCCGCTCCCCTATCCCCCCCCCCCAGCCCCGCTCTCCCCTCACGGCCCCGCTCCCCCCCCCGCCCCTCCCCCAAGCGCTGCCTCCGCCCCGCCCCCCCCGCGCCGCTCCCGCCGCCCCCCCGGCCCCGCTCACTGGGGCGGGCGCGGGCGGGGCCGATGTCGAGGTTGAGGTCGATTCTCCGCCGCGCCTCGCGGTTCTCCTGCTTCAGCTTTGCCTCCAGCCGCGACAGCTTCTGCTCCAGCGAGGACGCCGCCATCTTCCCCCCCCCCGCGTGGCGCATGCGCGGGGCCCGCGGGGGGCGGGGCTTGGAGCCGCCGCCGTACGGAGGGAGGGAGCGGAGGGCGCCGCCATCTTCCCGCTGGGATGGGTAATGCGCATGCGCAAAACGCCTTGATGTGGCTTATGGGTCTCGCCGGCTTCCTTAGGGACACAGAGCGGGCGGGCGCTGGCATCTTCGCCTCTATGGCCGCTATTGCGCATGCGCGGAGTTACGGGAGGCCGTTATGTGCCTCAGCCGCTGCTGTAGATAGGGGAGAGCTGAAGGGAGGACAGGGAGGGGCTTGGGTTCCTTTGGCCGCTGTAGGAACGCGGGATGAGGGGGTGGAGCGAGCGCACGGCGGCTTTTTGCCCACGCTGGCCGCCGTACGGAAATAGGGAACACGGATGCCGCCATCTTCACCGGGGAACGGCTATTGCGCATGCGCACAGCGGATGGACTTTGGGCCTCTCCGGCCGCCGTAGAGAGGCGACATACGGACCTTGATTGGCCCCGCCGGCCTCCGTAGGGGAACATGGAGGGGCGCGATCCCATATAAATGTTTATGGGGCCTCACGGGCGTGTGGGGGCAGCTGGGGCCTGTTTGGGAGTCCTGTGGGTCGGAAGGGCCGTGGGAGGCCGAGGATGTTTCAGAGCGGCCAGAAGCACATTGGGAGCATTGGGCCATTTGTGGCTGTGACGGCGTCTGAGGCAGTTTAAGCTGGTTTTGCGGCAGTTACTGCTCCTTTAGCGCAGCCTGAGGCTGTTCTGGGGCATTTTAGGGGAGCTGAGAGTTTTCTGGGAATGTTTGAGGACATTTTAGGGGAGCGGAGGCTGTTCGGGGGTTGTTTGGGGCAGTTTAGGGGAGCTGAGGCCGTTCTTGCGGCTTGTTTTTGGAGCGCGGTTTTTGGGCCCTGCCTGTCGCCGTTGGGGACGTGGTGGCTCCGGCTGCTGAGGGCGCATGCGCAGAGAAGGGCGCCATAGAGCACAGGAGCGGCTGAGGGACCAATGGCGCCCCCTGGCGGGCGGGAGGACCCGCGCATGCGCAGCACCCTCCCCTCACTGGGGGTCCCCGAGAGCCCCTAAATGCCCCCCCCATTCCCCTTTTGGGGGGGCTCAAACGCGGGAGCACCCCCGAAACGGGGGTACCCCCCAAAAAGCCCCAAACCCCGAGATTTTGTGTTGATTTTATTTCATTTTTCCGTTTTTATTTAAAAAAACCCAAAACGAGCCAGGCCCGGGGAAGGGGGGGGGGGGGCACAGACTGCGGGGGGGTTTGGGGGGCTCCCCCCCCCTCGTGGCCAAGGGCTGGGGGGGGCCGCACCCCAATTTGGGGGGGGGGGGGAGCTGGGGAAGGTTAAAACATCTCCGGGCAGAGCCCCCCAACCCCCTCCCCCCGCGGTAAAAACCCCCCCGAGAAAAGGGGGATCCCCTAAAAAGGGGGCTCCCTCAATGAGGGCTGACCCCGCCCCCAGAGGGACCCCCAAAAACAGGGGTGATCCCACAAGGAGCGGGGTGTCCTCACCCCCAGTGTGCCCCAGAGAGAGGGGACCCCCAAAAGAGAGGGGTAACCCCCCCAAAAGAGAGGAGACCCCCAAAAGAGAGGGGTGACCCCCCCTAAAAGAGGGGTGACCCCTTCAGAGTGTGGGATTTCCCCCAAAAGAGGGAAACCCCTCCAAAAGAGGAGAAGCCCCCCAAAAGAGGGGAACCCCCCCAAAAGAGAAGGGAGGACCCTCTAAAGAGAAGTGACCTCCCCAAAAGAGGGGTCCCCAAGGAGAAGCCCCCCAAAAGAGGGGGTGGACCCCCCCAAAGGAGAAAGGACCCCCTAAAGAGAAGCCCCCCCAATCACAGGTGAGCCCCCCCCAAAAGAAGGGTGCCCCCCAAAAGAGAGACCCCACAAAGAGGGGTGGGATCCCCCAAAACAGAGATGAGACCCCCTCAGAGCAAGGTGGGACCCCTCAAATGAGAGCAGGACCCCCCCAGATTAGAGGTGGGACCCTAACGAGAGGCCAAGGCCGCCCTAAATAGGGATGGGACCCCCCTAAATAGGGATGGGAGCCCCCCAAAGAGAGGTGGGAGCCCCCAGATAGATGTGGGAGCCCCCAAAGAGAGGTGGGGACCCCAAAAACGGGGTGAGACCCCCCCGAGCCTCACCCACCCCCCAAAGTCTCCGTGTGCAGCAGCGGGGGAAGGAGGAGCCCTCCCGGATCCCGGGGCGTCCCCGCGGGTTTGGGGGCGTCCCCCCCGGTTTGGGGGCGTCCCCTGGGGTCCCCCCGTGTCCTCGGGGGTCTCTCAGGCCGGGAAGGGCTCCGGGGGGGGCTCCTCATCCTGGAAGTGGCTGCGCTGCAGCAGCTTCACGTGGTACTCGTAGATCTTGAGCGCCGGGCCCAGGCGGATGGAGAGGCCGGTGAGCACATCGGCCCTCTGCATCAGCAGCAGGGACTTGCCATCGATCTCCTGGGGACATGGGGACAGTGAGGGGACATTGGGGACACTGGGGACACTGGGGACAGTCACAGGGACAGGGGACAGACACAGGGATAGGGGACAGCCATGGGGACACAGGGACACAGAGCCCCGTGAGCACATCGGCCCTCTGCATCAGCAACAGGGACTTGCCATCGATCTCCTGGGGACATGGGGACATTGGGGACATGGGGACAGTCACAGGGACTGGGGACAGTGAGGGACATTGGGGACAGCCAGGGGACAGGGGACAGTCACAGGGACACAGGGCCCCGTGAGCACATCGGCCCTCTGCATCAGCAGCAGCGACTTGCCATCGATCTCCTGGGGACATTGGGGACGACACCGGGGACAGTCACAGGGACAGGGGACACCCAGGGACACAGAGCCCTGTGAGCACATCGGCCCTCTGCATCAGCAGCAGGGACTGGCCATCGATCTCCTGGGGACATGGGGACAGCCGGGGACAGGGGACAGACACAGGGATAGGGGACAGCCATGGGGACACAGGGACAGCCATGGGGACAGCCATGGGGACAGCCATGGGACAGGACAGCCATGGGGACACTGGGGACAGCCATGGGGACAGAAGCTGGAGCAGCCCCAGGCAATGGAGGAGGGTGGGGTGAGGATCTGTGGGGGAGATGGGGTTTGGGGACACCTGCAGGGACACAGGGACACCCCAGGGATGGACAGGGGGGACACTGGGGGACAGGGGGATGGACCCTGGGGTGACACTTGGGAGGGTGCAGGGAGGAGGTGAGGTCAGGGGGACTGGGGACAACCCAGGGACAGGGGGGACATCTCAGGGACAAGGGGGACACCCCAGGGACACCCCAGGGACAAGGGGGACACCCCAGGGACAAGGGGGACACCCCAGGGACACCCCAGGGACAGGGGGGACACCCCAGGGACCCAGGGACAGGGGGGACACCCAGGGTGACCCTGGGGAATGGGGGTGGATGGGGACCTATGGGGAGGGGTGGGGACCTATGGGGAAAATATCGGGGACAGTTTGGGGACACCGCCAGCGACAGAGGGGACACCCCAGGGACAGAAGGGACACCCCAGGGGACACTCCTAAGGACACAGGGGACACTGTGGGGACACCGCCAGCGACAGAGGGGACACCCCAGGGACAGAAGGGACACCCCAGGGGACACCCCAGGGACAGAGAGGATACCCCAAGGGACAGAGAGGACACTGTGGGGACAGCCCCAGGGACAGAGGGGACACACTGGGGACACCTTGGGGACAGCCCCAGGGACAGAGGGGACACCGCAAGGGCAGCAGGAGGGGGCAGAGTGGTCACAGAGGGAGGGGACCGTTCTTGGGGACACTGTGGTGATGAGGGAGCCCTGGGGACACTGTGGGGACAGAGGGGACAGGGTGGAGACACTGTGGGGACAGAGGGGACAGGGTGGGGACAGAGGAGACACTGTGGGGACAGAGGGGGCCCTGGGGACACTGTGAGAACACTGTGGGGACAGAGGGAGCCCTAGGAACACTGTGGGGACACTGTGGGGACAGAGGGGACACTGTGGGGACAGAGGGGACAGGGTGGGGACAGAGGGGACAGGGTGGCCCCACCTGCTCCTGGAAGGCCCCGGCCTGCTCGGGGAAGCCGGCCTCGGTGAAATACTCGACCACGTCCCGCACCGACCACTCCACCGGGTCCACGGCCTTGTCCTTGCGCCCGGGCCTGGGGACAGGGACAGCGTCAGGGACAGCGGGGACAGCGTGGGGACACACGGACACGGGGACAGGGACGGCGTCAGGGACAGTGGGGACAGCGTGGGGACACACGGACACGGGGACAGGGACAGCGTCAGGGACAGCATGGGGACACACGGACATGGTCACGGGGACAGGGACAGCGTCAGGGACAGTGGGGACAGTGTGGGGACACACAGACATGGTCAATGGGACTGGGACAGTGGGACAGCTTGGGGACACATGGACATGGACATGGGGACAGGGACAGTGGGACAGCTTGAGGAAACACGGACATGGTCAATGGGACAGGGACAGTGTCAGGGACAGTGCGGAGACACATGGACTCGGTCAATGGGACAGGGACAGCATCAGGGACAGCATGGGGACACACGGACATGGTCACGGGACAGGGACAGTGCAAGGGACAGTGGGGACAGTGTGGGGACACACGGACATGGACACAGGGACAGGGACAGTGGGACAGCTTGGGGACACATGGACATGGACACAGGGACAGACAGTGTCAGGGACAGTGGGGACACACAGACATGGACACTGGGACAGCGTGGGGACAGCATGGGGACACACAGACATGGACACTGGGACAGCGACAGGGGACAGTGGGGACAACGTGGGGACACACAGACATGGAGACAGCGTCAGGGGACAGCGTGGGGACATACAGACATGGACACTGGGACAGCGTGGGGACAGCATCACAGGGACACACAGACATGGTCACCATGATGGGGACACTGTGGGGACATGGTCACTGGGACACAGGGACAGTGTCATGGGGACATGCGGGGGGGACACCCAGATACAGTCACCGGGATGGGGACACGGTGGGGACACTGTGGGGACACCCAGACACAGTCATCGGGATGGGGACATGGTGGGGACACTGTGGGGACACCATGGGGACATGGCCACCGGGACACAGGGACAGTTATCATAGGGACACCATGGAGACAGACACGGTCACTGGGACATAGGGACAGCGCCACAGGGACACACAGACACGGTCACCGTGATGGGGACACCATGGGGACGCACAGACACGGTCACTGGGACATGGGGACACCATGGGGACACACAGACACGGTCACCGTGATGGGGACACAGTCACTGGGACGGGCAGGGGGGACACCAGGACACGGTCACTGGGACAGGGGACACTGTGGGGACAGGGTCACAGCAACAGGGGGGTGACACAGGGACATGGTGACAGGGACATCCAGGGGGACATGGGGACAGCAGGACACTGGGTAGGGACACAGAGGGACACTGGGGGGGACATGGGGCACCTGGGGGGACACAGAGGGACACTGGGTGGCACATGGGTGACACAGAGGGACACAAAGGACACTGGGTGGCACACAGTGACACAAGTGACACAGAGGGACACTGGGTGGCACAAAGTGACACCGAGGGACACAAGGGACACTGGGTGGCACACAGTGACACAGGTGACACAAGGGACACTGGGTGGCACACAGTGACACAGAGGGACACAAGGGACACTGGGTGGCACACAGTGACACAGGTGACACAGAGGGACACTGGGTGGCACTCAGGTGACACAGGTGACACAAGGGACACTGGGTGGCACACAGTGACACCAAGGGACACAAGGGACACTGGGTGGCACGCAGTGACACCGAGGGACACAAGGGACACTGGGTGGCACACAGGTGACACAGAGGGGACACTGGGTGGCACACAGGTGACACAGGTGACACAAAGCACACAGTTCCTGACTCACGTGCAGCTGAACGGGGCTCCCTCGGCAGCCTGGGGGCCCGGCCGGCCCGGGGACAGCGGCACCGAGGGCTCGGCCCCCGGCCAGCGCTGGGGACACTGTGGGGACACCAACGGTCACCAAGGGACACCAACGGTCACCAAGGGACAGCCAGAGGGACCCCAGTGACCCCAGCACTGAGTGAGCCCCAGAGAGACCCCAGAGTGACCCCAGCACTGCCCGCCCACCCACCCTCTGCCCTGACCCCACAGCCCAGAGTGACCCCGTGCCTGAACTGCCCCCAGCACCCCAAACTGACACACCTGTACCCCCAAACTGCCCCAAACCTGCCCTCAGCACCCCCAAACTGACACACCCGTACCCCCAAACTGCCCCAAACCTGCCCTCAGCACCCCCAAACTGACACACCCATACCCCCAAACTGCCCCCAGCACCCCAAGCTGACACACCCGTACCCCCAAACTGCCCCAAACCTGCCCTCAGCACCCCCAAACTGACACACCCGTACCCCCAAACTGCCCCAGCACCCCAAGCTGACACACCCGTACCCCCAAACTGCCCCAAACCTGCCCTCAGCACCCCCAAACTGACACACCCGTACCCCCAAACTGCCCCCAGCACCCCAAGCTGACACACCCGTACCCCCAAACTGCCCCCAGCACCCCCAAACTGACACACCTGTACCCCCAAACTACCCCATCACCCCCAAACCTGCCCCCAGCACCCCAAACTGACACACCTGTACCCCCAAACTGCCCCAAACCTGCCCTCAGCACCCCCAAACTGACACACCCGTACCCCCAAACTGCCCCAAACCTGCCCCCAGCAACCCCAAACTGCCCCCAGCACCCCAAACTGACACACACGTACCCCCAAACCTGCCCTCAGCACCCCCAAACTGCCCCCATCGCCCCCAAATGTGCTCTCAGGACCCCCAAACTTAAACCCCCTTACTCCCAAACTGCCCCATCACCCCCATACCTGCCCCCAGCACCCCCCAAAACTGCCCCCAGCACCCCCAATCTTACACCCCCCTACCCCCATCACCCCCAAACTTTCCCCTAGCACCCCCAAACTTAAACTACCATTGCTCCCAAACTGCCCCCATCCCCCCCAAACCTGCCCTCAGCACCCCTAACTTAAACCCCATCACCCCCAAACTGCCCCCATCACCCACAAATTTGCTTTCAATACCCTCTAAACTGCCCCCCAGCACCCCAAACCTGCCCTCAGCACCCCCAAACTGCCCCCCATCGCCCCCAAACGTGCCCTCAATACCCCCAAAACTTACACACCCCTACCCCCAAACTGCCCATCACCCCCAAAACTGCCCTCAGCATCCCCAAACTTAACCCCCCCTACCACCAAACTGCCCCCATCACCCCCAAATTTGCCTTCAATAACCCCTAAACTGCCCCCAGCACTCCCAAACTTACACACTCATCACCCCCAAACTGCCCTCCCATTGCCCCCAAACTGCCCCCAGCACCCCCAAACTTACACACCTGTACCCCCAAACTGCCCCAAACCTGCCCTCAGCACCCCCAAACCTGCCCCCATTGCCCCCAAACCTGCCCTCAGTACCCCCAAAACTTAAACCCCCCTATCCCCAAACAGCCCCATTGCCCCCAAACTGCCCCCATCACCCCCAAACCTGCCCTTAGCACCCCTAACTTAAACCCCCCTACCCCCATCACCCCCAAATCCCCAAACTTTCCCCCTAGCACCCCCAAAATTAAACTACCATTGCCCCCAAACTGCCCCCATCACCCCCAAACCTGCCCTCAGCACCCCCAAACTTAAACCCCCCTACCCCCATCGCCCCCCAAGCCCCCCAGACCCCCGTGCCCCCCAGCACCTGCTCTGTCGGGCTGCCCGAAGGCCCCCTCCTTTTTCAGGGGGGCCATGTGCTGGCAGCCGCCCTCCCCCGGGGCGCAGGCCTTGGCCTGGGGGGGGGCGCTCGGGGGGCGGCTGCCCCGGGGGGCGCAGGGGGGGCCCCCCCCGGCCCTCCCCGTTCAGCTGCCGGGGCGGCCCCCGCGTCCTCCGAGGCCTCCGAGCCCGTCCCGTCCTCGTCCTCTTCGTCCTCATCCTCCTCCTCCTCCTCTTCCTCCTCCCGCGCCGAGGCCTCGCTGCTGCTGCAGGGGGGCTGGGGGTCCCCAAAACCGTGAGCATCGCCCCAAAGGGAACCCCAGGAGCTGAGACCCCCCCCCCCGAAAATCTACAGCCCCCCAAAAAATGTACAGCCCTGACACCAAAATCCACAGACCCCACAGACCCCCACCCTCATCCAGTCCTGGCTCTTGGTGACCCCAAAACCCCTTCAGGTCCCCTAAATCCCCCTGTCCCTGTCCCCCAAGTCCTCTTGGGGGTCCCCAACATCCCCTTGAGATCTCTGCTGTTCCCTACGAGGTCCCCTAAAGGGTATCCCCAACCCCCTCAGTCCCCCAAGTCCCCTCAGGAGATGCCTCCAGCTCCCCTCAGCTGCCCAGTTCCCTCAGGGGACCCCTAAATCCCCCCAGGCTCCCTCCCCAAGTCCCTTTCTCTGTCTCCTGCGTCCCCTCCACCTTGTGTCCCCCCTCTGTCCCCACCAACCCTTCAGGGGTCCCCAGTGCCCTCTCACCACCCCTGTCCCCTCAGCCCTCCTGTCCCCAGTCCCCCAGAGCCCCCTGGCCCCCTTAGGGTCACCCCCCCAGAGCCCCCCAGTCCCCTCCATGCCCTCAGGGCCCCCTCAGCCCTCCCGGCTCCCCCTCAAACTCCTCACGGCCCCTTCCCCAGTGTCCCCTCAGGGTCCCCCACTCACAGAGCCCCCTCTTCCCTCCTCACGACCCCCGGGCCCCCCATGTCCACCCCCCTTTCCCGTGCTCCCCTCACACCCTCAGGATCCCCTCAGGCCTCCCGAGTGCTTCCTCGCGACCCCCGAACCTTTCCCGTGCCCCCCGTTCCTCTCAGTGCTCGGTGCCTCCTCAGGACCCCCGGGCCCCCCGCTCCTCTCAGCCCCCCGAGACCCCCGGCCCTTTCCTCAGGGTCCCCCCCAACCATCTCCTGTCGCCGGACCATCCTCTTCCCCTCATCGCTCCCCCTCACGACCCCGGGCCCCTCCCCAGTGTCCCTCAGGGCCCCCGGCTCCCCTCGGCCCCTCACCAGCAGCAACCCCCGGTGCTCCCTCACGACCCCCGCACCCCTCAGTCCCTGAGCGCTCCCCTCCCTCCGATGCCCCCTCGGGGTCCCCTCAGCCCCCGGTGCCCCCTCACGACCCCCATTCCTGCCAGCCCCTCACGGCTCCCCCCCGCTTCCCGCGCTCCCCCTCACAATGCGCGGGTCCCCGCTCCCCCTTAGCCCCCCGCGCTCCCCTCAGCCCCCCGCGCTCCCCTCAGCCTCCCGCCGCTCCCCTCAGCCTCCCGCCGCTCCCCTCACGCCCCTTCCTCACCTTCCGCGCCCTCCCCGCGGCCGCTCTCCCGCGCTCCCCGCGGGCCGTGGCGATGGCGCCCAGCCGGGTGCGCTCGGGCCGGGCCCCGCCGCCCCCTCCGCCGCCGCCGCCCGCCCCGGGGGCCGCCCCGGCCGCCCCCCCCGCCGCCGCCGGGCGCGGCCGAGCCCTGGAGGCGGCCGCGGGTGAGGCGGCCGTCGCCGCCGAGCAGCCGCGCGGTGTCGCGGAGGCTGACGGGCGGCGGGCGGCGGGCGGGCGGTGGCGGGCGGCGGGGCGGCTGCACGCGGGCGGCGTTGCGGTACGAGATGCTGCCCTTGTAGGAGACGCGGAGCACGGCGCGCTGCTGGATCAGCTTCTCCAGCTCGGCACGGGTGCGCTCGGGCTCGGGGCCGTGCCGCCGCCGCACCATGCGGCAGATGCGCTCCAGGTCCGGCCGCGCCTTGCGCGAACGCAGCGAGTCGATCGTGTCCAGGATCCACTCCTGGTACCGCGGGGCCTGCTCGGGGCCCGGCGGCGGCGGCGGCGGCACCGCCATGGCCCCCCCCCGCGGCACCGCCGGCCCCCCCGTCCCGCGCCCCCTTCCTCCTCCGCCTCCTCCTCCTCCTCCTCCTCCGCCCCCGCCCCGCCCGCGCGCGCCCGCTCGGAGGAGGAGCCGCGGCCGCCGCGCGCGCGCGCCTCGGGGTGGAGCCGCCCCGAGCGGCCGCGCCCCCGGAAAACCACGCCCACAACGGCACTCAAGCCACGCCCATCACAGCTAGGCCACGCCCACCTCAGGGGAAATACCGCCCATGTCCAGAGCCCCGCCCCCTCTGGCATTAAGCCGCGCCCATCAGTTTAAGATACGCCCAGGTAGGGAAAGGCCACGCCCCTTCCGGGGAGGCCCCGCCCATTGCTGGAGGACACGCCCACCGCTGGGATCCCCGGGCCCCGAAAATGGGGACCCCCAATTGCAAGGACCCCGGAACCCATGGAGCTCCCCCCAAACCCATGGGGTCACCCCAAATCAATGAGGCCACCCAAAACCAGTGGGGTCACCCCAAACCCATGAGGTCACCCTGATCCCATGGGCTCACCCCAAACCCATGGAGCCCCCACAAACCCATGGGGTCACCCCGATCCCATGGGGTCCCCCCCAAACCCATGGAGCCCCCCCCCAAACCCACAAGTCAGCCCAATTCCAGGGCCCCCCAAAGTCATGGATACCCCAAAGCCATAGGGTCACCCCAAACCCATGGAGCCCCCCCAAACCAATGGGGTCACCCCCCCAAACCCACAAGGTCACCCCAAACCCATGGGCTCCCCCCCAAAACCATGGTGTCACCCCCAAACTCATGAGATCACTCCAAACTCATGGAGCCCCCCGAAATCCATTGGGGTCACCCCCAAACCCACAAAGTCACCCCAAATCCACAGGGTCACCCCAAACCTATTGGGATCACCCCAAACCCATGGAGACCCCCCAAACCCATGGGGTCACCCCCAAACCCACGGGTCACCCCAATTCCAGGGCCCCCCAAAGTCAAGGACACCCCAAATCCGCGGGGTCCCTCCCAGACCCATGGGACCCCCATTTTGGGAGCACCCCAAAATTTCCAAACCCGATTTTCCCCCCAAACTTTATTGATTTGTCCCAAACTCGTTTACAATGAAGCCCTGGGGGGGTTGGGGGCCTCTCAGGGGGTTTTGGGGACCCTCCCTGGTTTTGGGGACCCCCATTTGGGGAGAAAGGGGGGGGGGGCTTCCATCTGGGGGGGGTTAAAACAGAGGAGTCACTGCCCTGGGACACCCCAAAACCCCAAAAACGGGGTCACCACCCTGGGACACCCCAAACACCACCCAGGGACACCCCAAAACCCCAAAAATGAGGGGGTCACAGCTCTGGGAACCCCAAAACCCCTAAAACAGGGGGTGACAGCCCTGGGAGAACCCCAAAAATGAGGGGTCACCATCCAGGGACACCCCAAAACCCCAAACACGGGGGGTCCCAGCCCCGGGACCCCCCAAACCCCCCTGGGGTTCAGGTGCACTTTGGGTATCTCCAGATTTTGGGGTTCAGACTTTATGGAGTGCTTCATAGGATTTTGGAGTCCAGCTGTTCATTTTGGGGTCCAGCTGTGCAGTTTGGGGTCCAGCTGTGCAGTTTTGGGGTCCAGCTGTTCATTTTGGGGTACAGGTGCACATTCTGGGGTCCAGCTGTTCATTTTGGTGTCCAGGTGCACATTTTAGGGTCCAGCTGTGCATTTTGGGGTCCAGCTGTACATTTTGGGGTCCAGCTGTGCAGTTTTGGGGTCCAGCTGTGCATTTCGGGGCGCTGGGGTCAGGTCCTGGCAGGTTCTCGAAGCTCAGCACGATCTGGGGGGGCAGAAAAATCCTCAAAATGCCCCAAAACCTCCCCAAATCCCCCCTGGGAACCCCCCAAAAAACCCCAGAGACCCCAAAACCCCTCAGGGACCCAAAAACCCCTCAGGGACCCCAAAATCCCCCTGGGAACCCCCAAGAGTCCCCAAGGAACCCCAGGACACCTCAGGGACCCCCGGGGCGGGCAGGGGACACTTTGGGGACACCCAGAGGGACAAGGGACACTTTGGGGACAGGCCCGGGGTGGGGGGGGGGTGACACTGGGGGGACAGGGATGGGCCTGGGGACACCTGGGGACCCCTGGGGACAATGGGGACACCTGGGGACAATGGGGACAATGGGGACAGTGGGGACACCTGGGGACACCTGGGGACACCTGGGGACAATGGGGACAATGGGGACACCTGCGGACAGTGGGGACAAAGAGGACACCTGGGCACATCTGGGGACAATGGGACACCTGGGACACCTGGGGACAATGGGGACAATGGGGACAATGGGGACCCACCTTGAAGGGCCACCAGAGGCTCTGGGGACAATGGGGACACTTGTGTGACACTTGGGGACACCTGGGGACACCTGGGGACACCTGACGACACCTGAGGACAGAACACCTGCATGACACCTGGGACACCTGTATGACACCTGGGGACACCCGGGGGACACCTGTGTGACACCTGGGGACACCTGGGGGACACCTGGGGACACCTGGGGGACACTTATGTGACACCTGGGGACACCTGGGAACACCTGGGGGACACCTGTGTGCCGCATATGTGACACCTGTGTGACACCTGTGACACGTGTGGACAGGGATATTGTCACACCTGGGGACACTGCCACCATCCTGGGGACATCCCGGTCCCCTCCCTGTGCTGGGGACATTGAGGTGCCACCTGAGCCCCCCGCGCTGGGGACAGCAGCGTCCCCTCGAGGCCAAGGACACCAACACTTGTCCCCCCTGCTGGGGACACCTTGGGGACACCCTGGGGACACCAATGTCCCCAGACCCGCTGTCACCAGTGTCCCCTCCCAGCCCTGCATTCCCAGTCCCCTCCTCCGTCCCCCCATGTCCCCCTGTGTGTCCCTGATGTCCCCTCCTGTGTCCCGTCCCGTGTCTCTGATGTCCCCATGTGTCCCCCTGTGTCACCTTCTGCCTGTCCAGCGCCCTCATGGCAAAGTGTCCCCTCCGTCCCCACTGTCCCTGTGTCCCCCTGTCCCCACTGTCCCTTCTGTCCCCGTGTCCCCCATCCCTGTCCCCCTGTCCCTGTGTCCCTGCCCCGTCCTCATGTCCCTGTCCCTGTCCCCCCTGTCCCCATGTCCCTGTCTCTGTGTCCCTGCCCCCGTGTCCCTGTCCCTGTCCCCCTGTCCCCGTGTCCCTCCATCCCCTGTCCCCAGCTGAGTGACCCCGTGCCCCCGGGGGACTGTGGGGCCCCGCTTTGGGGACTGTGGGGACCCCAAAACCACCAGGGGGACCCCAAAACCACCGGGAGGGGACAGGGACAGCGCCAGGGCGGGGTCCTTGGGGACATCGAGGGGACAGGGGGACGTGGGAGTGTCCCCAAGGGACAGGGGACACCTTAAAGGGGACAGGGGACATCACAAAAGGAACAGGGGACACCCCAGAGGGGACAGGGGACACCTCAAATGAACAGGGGACACCTCAAAAGGGACAAGGGATACCCCAAAATGGGACAGGGGACACCCCAAAGGAACAGGGACACCTGAAAGGGGACAAGGGACATCCCAAAGACCACAGGGAACATCTTAAAGGGGACGGAGGATCCTCCAAATGGACAGGGGATCCCCCAAATGGACAGGGGACACCCCAAAAGGGGACAGGGACACTCGAAAGGGACAGGAGACCCCCCAAAGGGACGTGGGACACCCCAAAACACAGACCCCCCCCAAAAGCAGACTGGGAACCCCCCGAGGGACCCCGAGGAACGGGAGGGGACAGGGGGGACCCCGAAAGGGCCCGAGGCCACCCCACATCCCCCGGGCGCCCCTCACCGTGTCCGGAGCTGCCGCCGGCCGCTGGCCCCGGGGCTCCCGGTACGGCCCAGTCGGATCGGGGAAACTGAGGAGCAACCCCCCCCCCCCCCCCCCAGCTCAGGGACCCCAAAAGGGACTCGGGGGGACAAGGAGGGACCTTGGGGGTGTCCTTGTGTCCCCCCCAATCAGGGCTCACTCCTGGGGGTCCCTCCCCGGTTTTGGGGCGCCCCCGGGCCGGGCTGGTCCCGCGGGGGCTTCCCCCGGGCTTGGCCCCCCCCCGTAGCGGAGGAGGCGCCCCAAAAGCAGCGCCCAGAGCAGCGCCTGCGCCCACAGCTGGAACGGGGGGTCCCAGCCCCAGCCGGGCCCCCCGGGGCACATCGCTGTCCCCGAGGGTCCCCCCCGCAGTCCCGGTACCCGCCCGTGCCCCCCGGCTTTGTCCCCGAACCCCCGGGAATGGGGGAGGGCGGGGCCTGGCCCGGCCACGCCCCCGGCCCGCCCAAAATCCATCCCGGGGGCACGGGGAGCGCCCCCCCTTCCCCCCTCCCCCGGGACCACGCCCCGCCGGGCCACGCCCCTTTTCTCAAACCACGCCCACACCACCATGACAACAGCTCGTTGGCACCGCCCCTTTATTCAGTCGCGCCCCATCACCATGGCAACTGACCACGCCCCCTTCTCGGGGCCGTGCCCGATCCCATGGCAACCCCGCGCGCCCTCTGTCGCTATGGCAACGCCAGCGCTGCGCCCATTCAGGGGCCACGCCCACTAACGGGACACGCCCCTTATTTCATATTACTCAACCATGCCACGCCCCCTCCAAAGGCCACGCCCCCAACCAGTGCCATGGCAACGCCCGCTCCCTTCCCTGGCCCCGCCCCCTGGGGGGGTGAAGGGACCCCTAGACCCTGCCCACCGCCCCGCTGCCCAGCGCCCCCCGGTTCGCCCAGCGGGGCACGGGACCCCCGGTGCCGGTGCCTCCGGAGCCCCCGGGCCCGCTCCCACCGCTCACCGCTCTCTCTGCCTCCCGGCGCCCCTTGGTCTCCGCCGGTCTCTTCCCCGCTGTACCCGGTCTTTCTCTCCCCCTCTATTTTCCTGCCGCCCCCCGGTCCCTCTCCCACCGCTCACCGCTCTTTCTGCCCCTCGGTGGCCCTCGGTCCCTCCGCTCTCTCCCCCGCTGGCCCCGGTCTCCCCCTCCCGCTCTGTTTTCCTGCCGAACCCCGGTCTCGCTCCCTCCGCTCACCGCTCTCCGGCTCCTCCGGTGCCCCGGTGTCCCGCTGACCCTCTCCAGCCTTGTTCCCTGCACTCCGCTACCCCGATGTCCCGATATCCGGGAGTTGTGCTCTCCGGCTTTCGCCGGTACCCGCGCTCCCGATATCCCGCTGTCTATCCCGGTGCCTATCCCAGTATCTATCCCGGTGCCTGTCCCGATATTCCGGAGTGCATGGCGCTGTGTATCCCGGTCTCTATCCTGATATCCCGTTGTCCATCGCGTTCTCTATCGCGACATCCCGGTACTCCCTCACCTCTCTCCCGCTCCCTCCGCCTTCCCCCTCACGGGCCCGGCTCTCCCGTGGACCGCGCCCGCCTCCCGCTCCCGCCCCTCATTGGCTGCGCCACCCGGCCCTCGCTTCCCATTGGCCAGCGCGCCCCCGGTCCCACCCACCGGCGTCCTATTGGCCAGCCCGCCCCCGAGTCCCACCCACCGGCGTCCCATTGGCCAGAGCGCCCCCGATTCCCACTCCTTCTGCTCCTCATTGGTCGGCGCTGCCGTCAGTCCGGAGATCGCCCCGGCCCTGCCCCGTTCATTAAACTCGAGCCCGGCGAGGGGCGGGGCCTCGGGCAGGGGGCGGGGCCTAGCCGGATTGACATGTCATGGGCGGGGTTTGTTCGGAGGGGCGGGACATCCGTGATGGACAGGGGAGGGGCGGGGCTTGTTCAGAGGGGCGGGGCACCTGTGATTGACAGGGGAGGGGCGGGGCTGCGCAGGTCAAGGGCGTGGCTTCCACTCTCAGCCTCGTGCCCTGCACGAGGGCTCATTTATTAACCTCTTAATTAAACTAATGAGGCCCCCAATAAACACTACTCTGTCCTCCGTGTCAATTAATGCACCTTCCTTTCCTATCCCTGCACAATTAACAAGCTCCAGTTTAATTACCCCAGCTCATTAGCATATGCTAATATATGGCTGATGATGGCGATTAGCAGGGCTCGTGCTGCTCTTAATTACTCATTAGCTGGGACGGGCCTGCCTGTTAATTGACTTAAAGAGCCTCACATCATAAACCCCAGCTCATTAACCTTTGTCATTAATGCTTCTTCATTAACATTTCCATTAATGCTCCCCCTTATTAGGACTCCTCCCTAAAGCTCACCCCACTGACACCTCCTTCATTAACGCCCCTTATTAGCACCCTCCCTCATTAACTCCCCAATCATTGAAGCTCTGGCTCACTCCTGCCCCGCCCATCTTCATTAACGCCCCTAATTAGCAGCTCTGCTCATTAACGCTCCTCCCTTATCAAGCCCATTTACCGCATTAGCTTGCCCTGCCCTCATTAACACCCCTCATTAATGGCCCTCATTAATGCCCCCTCGTTAATGCCTGTCATAATGCCCCTCATTAATACCGCACATCACCACCCCTCATTAACACCTTTTCGTTAACGCCCCTCATTAATGTTTCTCATTAATGCTCCTCATTAATTCTCCTTATTACTACCCCTCATTAATACCCCTCATTACCACCCCCTCATTACTGTCCCTCATTAATGCCCCTCATTAACACCCATCAGTAACACTACTCATTACCGCCCCTCATTAACACCCCTCATTAACACCCCTATTAACGCCCCTCATTAATGACCCTCATTACCACCCCTCATTAATGCTCCTCATTAATGCTCCTTATTAACGTTCCCTCAATAACACTTCTCATTACCGCCCCCTCATTAACGGCCCTCATTAGTGCCCCCTCATTAACACCCATTCATTAACACATCTCAGTAACACCCCCACGTTAACGCCCCTCATTAACACCCATTCATTAATGCCCCTCAGTGCTGCAATCCCTGCAGTGGCCGCGGGGGGCGGTAGCGGGATATGGGATGGGGGGAGGGGTTCCCACAGTCCCGGCCGTGACCCTGGGGGGAGGGGGCGGGGCAGGGAGGGGGAGGGGCGGTGACCACGAGGGGACAGTGGCAGTCGCAGGGTGGGGGAGGGGTCGCTGCAGTCCTGGAGGTGACCAGGAGGGGGCGGTGCTGGGGTGGGGCATCGATGGGGAGAGGTCCCTGCAGTTCCGGCCGTGACTAGGTGGGGGCAGTGATGGATGGGGTGGGGATGGGTGGGGGATGGGTGGGGATGGGTGGGGATGGGTGGGGGATGGGTGGGGATGGGTGGGGATGGGGAGGGGTGGCTGCAGTTCCAGCCGTGACCAGGAGGCGGCGCTGCTGGGGTGGGGCATTAGTAGGGGATCCGCATGGCTCCCTGCAGTTCCGGCAGCAGCCGTGGGTGATGCTGGCAGAGTGGGGGATGGGTGGGGGATGGTGTGGGGGATGGGTGGGGGATGGGGGGGGGTCCCTACAGTCCAGCAGTGACCGGGGGGGCCAGTGATGAATGGATTCAGGGATGGTGAGGGGTCACTGAAGTCCCAGTGGTGGCCGCAGGGGGTGCTGCAGAGTGGGGGAGGGGTCACTGCAGTTCTGGTGGTGCCCGCGGGGGGCGCTCTCAGGGTGCGGCATGGGGAGGGGTCGCTGCAGGCCCAGTCATGACTGAGAGGGGGCAGTGCTGGGGTGGGGCATAGATGGGGGAGGGGTGGGGAATGGGGAGGGTCCCTGCAGTCCTGGCGGTGACTGGGAGGGGGCAGCGATGAATGGATTCCGGGATGGGGAGTGGTCGCTGCAGTTCGGGCTGTGTCCAGGAGGGGGCGGTGCCTGGGTGGGAGTGGGTGGGGGTTGACGAGGGGTCGCTGCAGTCCCAGTGGTGGCCGCAGGGGGCAGTGCTGGGTAGGGGAGAGGTCGCTGCAGTTCCGGCGGTGACCAGGAGAGGGCAGTGTTGGGGTGGGGGTAGGTGGGGTTTGAGGAAGGGTCCCTGCAGTTCCGGCGGTGATTGGGAGGGGGTGGTGGTGGGGTGGGGGCATAGATGGGGCATGGGTGATGGATGGCGTGGGGGATAGGGAGGGGTCGCTGCAGTCCCAGTGGTGACCAGGAGGGGGCAGTAATGGATGGGGTGGGGGATGGGGAGGGGTCGCTGCAGTTCCAGCGCTGGCCGCGGGCGGCGCTGTCGGGGTGGGGGATGGGGAGGGGTCAGTGCAGTTCCGGCGGCGGCCGCAGGGGGCAGTGCTGGGTGGGGGAGGGGTCTCTGCAGTTCCGGCGGTGACCAGGAGGGGCGCTCTGATTGGGAGGGGTCTCTGCAGTTCCGGCGGCGGCCGCAGGCGGCAGTGCTGGGTGGGGGAGGGGTCTCTGCAGTTCCGGCGGCGGCCGCGGGCGGCGCTGCCGGGCCGGGAGGGGCGGGCGGGGGTCCCGCAGTTCCGGCGGCCGCCGTTGGGGGGAGCCCGCGGGCGCGGGGCGGTGCGGGGGGGTCGCGCCGCGATCGCCGCATGGAGCTGAACCCGCAGGTACGGGGGGGGTTTCGGGGGGGGTCCGGGGGGGTCTGGGGTGGTCTGGGGGCGCCGTTTGGGTCTGGGGGAGCGGCCCCCGGGGCGGGGGGGGATGGAGGGGCCGGGGGGAGCCGCCCCGCAGGTGCGGAGGGGCCGGGGGGGCGCTGGGAAATGGGGAGGGGGGTGAGAAAGGGGCGTCGGTAAAATGGGGGGGTCGGAATGGGGGGGATTGAATGGGGGGGGGGATCGCGTAAATCTGGGTGGGTCCCGCGAAAATGGGGGGGGGGGTCGTGGGAACTTGGGGGTCCCGAGGCGCGGGGGAGGGGGCCGTGAAAAGAAGGGGGGGCTGGGAAAACGGGGGGGGGGGGGGGGGGGGTGAGCGCTGTCCCGGGGGGCCGGGGGTGACATTTGGGAGGGGGGGGAGCAGGGCGGGGGCCGGGGATAAAGGGGGGGGGTGGGGAACAGGGCGGGGTCCGGAAATTGAGGGGGGTGGGCGCTGAAAAGGGGGGTGCGGCCCCTCCCGACCCCCCCTCATTTGGGACCCTTCTGGGGGGGGACGCGGTTTGTTCCCCCCCCCCCCCCGAGGGAACTGAGGCGGGGAGGGAGGGGGGGTGGGGACCCCCCAGGTATTTTGGGGGGGGGGGGATGGGGGGGGGTCGCCCCCCGCCTCAGTTTCCCCAAGGGGGGGGGTGGAATTGGGGGGGGGTTGGGGGGGGGCGGCCGATGTCGCCCGCGGAGCATTCTGGGATGGCGCTGCGCCCCCCCCATCATTCTGGGTGGGGGGGGGGTGTGATGGGGGGATTCTCCCACAATGCACCGCGGCGCCGTCGCCCCTGGCAACCCGGGGCTGAGCTTCCCACAATGCACCGCGGCCGCATCGGCCCCTGCGCGGGGTGAGGGGGGGCCGAGGGGGTCCCGGGGGGGGGGCGGGGGCGGATGATCGATAATCGATAATCGATAATCGGCTCTGATCCCCCCGGGGCAGCCACGGATTGGGCCGGGGGGGGGCTCCGATCCCGGCGGGATTTGGGGGGAGCAGATGGTCCGGGGAGGGAGGGAGGGGGGGACAGAACGTCAGGGCCCCCCCGGATTGGGGGGGGCTGGACCCCACCAGGATGGGGGGGATGGGCGGGCACCCGGAGGGGGGCGGGGGTCGGTGCTGGGGGGGGGACGGAATTTGAGGGGGGGGCTCGGATCCCCTCAATTCGGGGGGGGCACAGATGAGGGAGGGGTCCGGACAGCGCCGTGCCCCCTCCCCCCTCATTAACTCACCCCCTCTTAATTCCCTCCCTCATTAATTCACGTCCACATTAATTCCCCCCCATTTATTCAGCCCCTCATTAATTCATCCCCTCAATAATTTCACCCCCCTCATTAATTCACCCCCCAATTTATTTAACCCCCTCATTAATTTACCCCACAATTAATTTAACCCCCCTCATTAATTGAACCACCCCCCATTAGTTCAGGCCCCCTCATTAATTCACCCCCGCATAAATGACCCCCCAATAATTTAACCCTTTATTAATTCACCCCATTGCTTATCCCCATCAATAATTACCCCCAAAATAATTTAACCCCTCATTAGTTACCCCCATTAATTGATTGCCCCCCAATTAATTCACCCCCTCATTAATTCACCCCCTCAATAATTTCACCCCCTCATTAATTCACCCCCCAATTTATTTAAGCCCCCGCAATAATTCCCCCCCCCGTTAATTTAACCCCTTTTTAATTCACCCCATTTCTTACTCCCCTCAATAATTACCCCCAAATTATTTAACCTCTCATTAATTCCCCCCTCATTAATTACCCCCACATTCATTTAACCCCTTGTTAATTCACTCCCGTTATTTCCCCACTCAATAATTACCCTCACATTATTTTAACCAGTCATTATTTCCCCCCTCATTACTTCCCCGTTAATTAATTCCCCCGCATTAATTCCCCCCCATTAATCAATTCCCCCCCATTAATTAACTCCACCCTCATTAATTACCCCCATTGATTCCCCGGGTCCTCCCCCATTAATTTCCCCCCCATTAATAGATCCCCCTGTTAATTCCCCCCATTTATAACTCCCCCTTCATTAATTCCCCCATTAATTAACTCCCCCACCGATTAATTACCCCCATTAATCCCCCGGCCCTCCTCCCCCCATTAATTGCCCCCCCATTAATGAATTCCCCCTTCATTAATTCCCCCCTGTCCCGTTTTTCTCTCCCCAGCTCGGATCCCCCCGCTGAGGTTGGGGGGTCCCCGCGCCCCTCCCCCGCCATGGCGCGCCCCTGCCCCGCCCCCGGCCCCGGTTCCGATTCCGGTTCCGTTCCCGTTCCCGGTTCTGGTCCCGGTTCTGGTCCCGGTTCTGGTCCCGGTGCTGCTGCTGGGGCTGCTGCCCCCGGGCTGCCACGGTGAGGGGGGCGGGGACGGGGGGAGGGGGGCGGGAGGGGGGTGGGCGGCACCCCAGGGGTGTGAGGGGCGTGTAAGGGGCGTGTAAGGGCAGTGAAATGGGTGTGCAATGCCCCAGGGGTGTGTAAGGGGCGTGTAAGGGCAGTGAAATGGGTGTGCAATGCCCTAGGGGTGTGTAAGGGGTGTGTAAGGGCAGTGAAATGGGTGTGCAATGCCCCAGGGGTGTGAAAGGGGCGTGTAAGCGCAGTGTAATGGGTGTGCAATGCCCCAGGGGTGTGAGGGGTGTGTAAGGCGCGTGTAAGGGCAGTGAAATGGGTGTGCAATGCCCCAGGGGTGTGAGGGGTGTGTAAGGGGCGTGTAAGGGCAGTGAAATGGGTGTGCAATGCCCCAGGGGTGTGTAAGGGGTGTACAACACCCCCGGGTGCCCAGCTGTGTGTAAAGGGCTGTACAATGCCCCAGGTGTGTGAGGAGTGTTTAAGGTGTGTACAACACCCCAGAAATGCCCAGGGGTGTGTAAGGGCTGTGCAAGGGCTGTGCAAGGGCTGTACCATGTCCCAGGTCTGTAAGGGGTGTGTAAGGGATTGCGTAAGGGGTGTGTAAGGGGTGTGTAAGGGCTCTACACAATACCCCAGCTGTGTAAGGGCTGTAGAATACCCCAGGTGTACAAGGGGTGTGTAAGTGGGGTGTAAGGCAGGTGTAATGGGTGTGTGAGGGGTGTAACAAGACCCCCAGGGGTGTAAGGGCTGTGTGAGGGGTGTGTAAGGGCTGTGAAATGGGTGTACAATGCCCCAGGGGTGTGAGGGGCGTGTAAGGCGTGTGTAAGTGTTGTATAAGGGCTATACACAACACCCCAGGTGTGTAAGGGGTGTGTAAGTGCTGTGAAAGGGCTGTACAGCACCCCCAGGGGTGTGAGCGGCGTGTAAGGGTGTATAAGTGTGTATAAGGGCTGTACACAACACCCCATGTGTGTAAGGGGTGTGTAAGGGCTGTATAAGGGGTGTGTAAGGGCTGTGAAATGGTGTACAATGTCCCATGGGTGTGAGGGCTGTGTAAGTGTTGTATAAGGGCTGTACACAACACCTCAGGTGTGTAAATGCTGTGAAAGGGCTGTACAACACCCTAGGGGTGTGTAAGGGCTGTACTACTCCACAGGTGTGTAAGGGCTGTGAAATGGGTGTACAATACCCCAGGGGTGTAAGGGGTGTGTAAGGGGTGTGTAAGGGGTGTGTAAGTGTTGTATAAGTGCTATACACAACAACCCAGGTGTGTAAATGGGTGTGTACAACACCCCTAGTGTATAAGGGGTGTGTAAGGGGTGTGTACAACACCCCAGGTGTGTAAGGGCTCTGAAATGGGTGTACAACGCCCCAGGGGTGTAAGGAGCATGTAAGGGATTGTGTAAAGGCTGTGTAAGGGCTGTGAAATGGGTGTATAATACCCCAGGGGGTTGTAAGGGGTGTGTAACACCCAGGTGTGTAAGGAGTGTGTAAGGGCTGTACAACACCCCAGGTGTGTAAGGCTGTGAAATGGGTGTACAATACCTCAGGGGTGCCCAGGGGTGTGTAAAGGGTGTGCAAGGGGTGTGCAAGGGCTGTGAAATGGGTGTATAATACCCCAGGGGCGTGTAAGGGGTGTGCAACACCCAGGTGTGTAAGGAGTGTATAAAGGGTGTTAAGGGGAGTGTAAGCGCTGTGTAAGGGCTGTACAATACCCCTGGTCTGTAAGGGCTGTGTAAGGACTGTGTAATGGGTGTGCAACACCCCAGGTGTGCCCAGGGGTGTGTGAGGTGTGTGTAAGGGCTGTACAACACCCCAGGTGTGTAAGGGGTGTGTAAGGGCTCTACAGTACCCCAGGCGTACAAGGGATGTGTAAGGGCTGTGTAAGGGGTGTGTAAGGGGTGTACAACACCCCAGGTGTACAAGGGGCATGTAAGGGCTGTGAAAGGGGTGTGTAAGGGCTGTGTAATGGGTGTACAATGCTCCAGGGGTGTAAGAGGTGTGTAAAGAGTGTGTAAGGGGTGTGCAACACCCCCGGGGTGCTCAGCTGTGTGTAAAGGGCTGTACAATGCCCCAGGTGTGTGAGGGGTGTGTAAGGGATTGTGTAATGGGTGTGTAAGGGCTGTGCAAGGGCTGTACCATACCCCAGGTCTGTAAGGGCTGTGTAAGTGGTGTGTAAGAGGGTGTGTAAGGGCTCTACACAATACCCCAGCTGTGTAAGGGCTGTAGAATACCCCAGGTGTGCAAGGGGTGTGTAAGGGGGTGTGTAAGGGGGTGTGTAAAGTGTGTACAACACCCTAGGGGTGTGTAAGTGCTGTTAAAGGGCTGTACAACACCCCAGGTGTGTAAGGGAGTGTGTGAGGGGTGTGTGAGGTGTGTACAACACTCCAGGGGGCAGCCCAGAGGTGTGTAAGGGGTGTGTAAGGGCTGTACAATACCCTGGGTGTGTAAGGGGTGTGTAAGGTGTGTACAACACTCCAGGGATGCCCAGGGGTGTGAAAAGGCTGCACAACACCCTAGGTGTGTAAGGAGTTTGTAAGGGGTGTGTAAGGGCTGTGTATGTGTTGTGTAAGGGCTATACAATGCCCCAGTTGTGTAACAGGTGTGTAAGGTGTGTACAACACTCCAGGGGTGTGTAAAGACTGTACAGCACCCCAGGGGTGTAAGGGGTGTGTAAGGGGTGTGTAAGGGGTGTGTAGCAGCTGTATGACACCCCAGGTGTATAACGGGTGTGTAAGGGCTGTGTTAGGGGTGTGTAAGGTGTGTACAACACCCCAGGAGTGTGTAAAGGCTGTGAAATGGGTGTACAACTCCCCAGGTGTGTGAGTTGTGAGAGGAGTTTGCGAGAGGCGTGTAAGGGCTGTGTAAGGGCTGCACAACACCCCAGGGGTGTTAGGGGTGTGTAAGGTGTGTACCACACCCCAGGAGTGTGTAAGGGGTGTGTAAAGGGTGTGAAAGGGCTCTACAACACTCCAGATGTACAAGGTTTGCGTAACACTTGTGCAAGCCTGGTGCAGTACCCCAGGTGTGCAAGGGTTGTGTAATGGGTGTGTAAGGGGTGTGTAGGGGCTGTACTACACCCCGGGTGTGTAAGGGGTGTGCAGCGAGTCTGTAACGGGTGTGCAAAGGATGTACAAGGGCTGTGAGAAGAGTGTGTAAGGGTTGTGTCTCTACAACACTCCAGGGGTGCCCAGGGGTGTGCAAGGTGTGTGCAAGGGCAGTACAACACACCAGGTGTGTAAGGGATTGTGTAAGGCCTGTGCAACACCCCGGGTGTGTCTGTACAACACTGCGGGGGTGCCCAGGAGTGTGTAATGGGGAAAGTAAAAGGTGCGTGAGGGGCGTGTAATGGGTGTGTAAGGGGTGTGCAACAGCCCAGCAGTGTAAGGGGCGTGTAATGGATGTGTAAGGGGTGTGCAACAGCCCAGCAGTGTAAGGGGTGTGTAAGGGGTGTGTGAGGTCTGTACACCACCCCAGGGGCGTGTAAAGGGCGTGCAAGATCTATACATTGCACCTCAGGGGTGCACAGGGGTGTGTAAGGCGTGTGTAAGGGCTGTACAACGCCCCAGAGATGCCCAGTGGTGTGTAAGGGGTGTGCAAAGGGTGTGCAAGGCTCCAGAGGTGCCTGGGGGTGCGAGGGGTGTGAAATGTTTGTGCAAAATGTGTGCAGCGATTGTGCAAGGGTTGTGCAAGAGTTGTGTAAGGGTTGTGTCCGTACAACACCACAGAGGGGCTCACTGGTGTGCAAGGGGTGTGTAACACGTGTGCAAGGGCTGAGCAGCTCCCCAGAGGTGGCTGGGATTGTGCAAGGGGTTTGTAGGGAGTGTGTAAGGAGTGTGCAAGGGCGGTGCAATACCCCAGGTGTGGGAAGGGTGTGTAAGGAGTGTGCAATGGATGTGTAAGGGGTGTGTAAGGAGTGTACAACAGCCCAGGTGTGATAGGGGAGTGTAAGGGAGGTGTAAAGAGTGTGTGGTGAGTGTGTAAAGGGTGTGTAAGGGCTGTGTAAAGGGTATATAAGGGGTGTGCAAAGAGTGTGTAAATGGTGTTTAAAGGGTGTGCAAGGGCTGTGTAAAGGCTGTGTAAGGGGTGTGCAAAGGGTGTGTTAGGGGTGTGTGAGGGCTGTGTAAGGGGTGTGCAAGGGCTGTGTAAAGGCTGTGTAAGGGGTGTGCAAGGGGTGTGCAGTGAGTGTGCAAGGGCGGCACAGCAGCCCCCATCTGGGCCCGGCTCTCGGGGTGCCCCAGAATCCGGGAATGGGAAATTCGGGATTGGGGGCACCCGGGATTTGGGGGATCCAGGTGTTGGGATTGGGGATCCCAGGTGTTTGGGATTTGGGGGATCCCAGGTGTTGGGATTTGGGGGATCCCAGGTGTTCGGGATTTGGGGGATCCAGGTGTTGGGATTTGGGGGATCCAGGTGTTGGGATTGGGGATCCCAGGTGTTGGGATTGGGGATCCCAGGTGTTTGGGATTTGGGGGATCCAGGTGTTGGGATTTGGGGGATCCCAGGTGCTTGGGATTTGGGATCCCAGGTGTTTGGGATTTGGGGGATCCCAGGTGTTGGGATTTGGGGGATCCCAGGTGTTTGGGATTTGGGGATCCCAGGTGTTTGGGATTTGGGGGATCCAGGTGTTAGGATTTGGGGATCCCAGGTGTTTGGGATTTGGGGGATCCCAGGTGTTTGGGATTTGGGGGATCCAGGTTTTGGGATTTGGGGGATCCCAGGTGTTTGGGATTTGGGGGATCCCAGGTGTTTGGGATTTGGGGGATCCAGGTGTTGGGATTTGGGGGATCCCAGGTGTTTGGGATTTGGGGGATCCAGGTGTTAGGATTTGGGGATCCCAGGTGTTTGGGATTTGGGGGATCCCAGGTGTTGGGATTGGGGATCCCAGGTGTTTGGGATTTGGGGGATCCCAGGTGTTTGGGATTTGGGGGGTCCCTGGTGTTTGGGATTTGGGGATCCCAGGTGTTTGGGATTGGGGTCCCAGGTGTTTGGGATTTGGAGATCCCAGGTGTTTGGGATTGGGGTCCCAGGTGTTTGGGATTTGGGGATCCCAGGTGTTTGGGATTTGGGGGATCCCAGGTGTTGGGATTTGGGGATCCCAGGTGTTTGGGATTGGGGTCCCAGGTGTTTGGGATTTGGAGATCCCAGGTGTTTGGGATTGGGGTCCCAGGTGTTTGGGATTTGGGGATCCCAGGTGTTTGGGATTGGGGTCCCAGGTGTTTGGGATTTGGGGATCCCAGGTGTTTGGGTTTTGGGGGATCCCAGGTGTTGGGATTTGGGGGATCCCAGGTGTTTGGGATTTGGGGGATCCCAGGTGTTTGGGATTTGGGATCCCAGGTGTTCGGGATTTGGGGGATCCCAGGTGTTGGGATTTGGGGGATCCCAGGTGTTTGGGATCAGGGGTTCCTAGGTGTTGGGATTGGGGGATCTCAGGTGTTTGGGATTTGGGGGATCCCAGGTGCTTGGGATTTCAGGTGTTTGGGATTGGGTTATCCAAGTGTCTGAGATCCCAGGTGTTGTGTTGGAACTTGGGGTCCCAGGTGTCCAGGATTGGGACACCTCAGATTTTGGGGTCCCTGGCATCAGAATTGGGGGTTCCTGGATTTTGGGAGACCCAAACGTGCCAGGTGTCCAGGGTTTGGGGGATCCAGGGATTGGGGATCCTGGTGTGGAGGCCTGGGGGGCATCTGAATTTTTTGGGGACCCAAACATCGATCAGAGGTCTCACGTACCATGGATTTGGGGTCCCAGGTGTTTGGGATTGGGGTCCCAGGTGTTTGGGGTCTCAGGTATCAGGGACTGGGGGTCCCAGGTGTTTGGATTGGGGGGATCCAGGTGTTGAGGCTTGGGAGCCTCTGGATTTTGTGGGGGACCCAAACATCCATCCGAGGTCTCAGGTACCGCGGATTTGGGGGTCCCAGGTGTTTGGGGTTTAGGATCCAGGTGTTTGGGATCCAGTGTTTGGGATTTGGGGTCCCAGGTGTTCGAGATTGGGGGGATCCCAGGTGTTTGGGATTTGGGGGATCCCAGGTGTTGGGATTTGGGATCCCAGGTGTTGGGATTTGGGGGATTCCAGGTGTTTGGGATTGGGGATCCCAGGTGTTTGGGATTTGGGGGATCCCAGGTGTTTGGGATTTGGGATCCCAGGTGTTGGGATTGGGGGGATCCCAGGTGTTTGGATTGGGGGCATCCAGGGTGTTGAGGCTTGGGGGGCCTCTGGATTTTGGGAGACTCAAACATCCATCCGAGGTGTCAGGTACCATGGATTTGGGGTCCTGGGTGTTTGGGATTTGGGGTCCCAGGTGTTGGATTTGGGGTCTCAGGTTCCCAGGATTGGGGGAACTCAGGTGTGTCAGATTTGGGGTCCCAGGTGTTTGGGATTGGGGGATCCCAGGTGTTTGGGATTGTTCCCGATGTCAGGGAATGGGGACCCAGAATTTGGGGAACTCCAAGCATCCATTGGGGTCCCCGGTTTTGGGGATTTGGGGTCCCCCAGTGTCCAGGTATGGGGGGACCTGTGTGTCCAGGATTGGGAATTCGCATTGCTAGAGGGTTGGGTCCCAGGTGTTTGGGATGGGGGGGACCCTGGATTTTGGGGTCCAGGTGTCAGGGACTGGGGGGTCCAGGTGTTTGGGATCCAGGTGTTTGGAATTTGGGATTCCAGGTGTTTGGGATTGGGGCTCCCCATTGCCAGGGATTCGGAGACCCCAGATTTTGGGGTCCCGGGCATCAGGACTGGGGGTTCCTGGATTTTGGGAGATCCAAACATGCCAGCTGTCCAGGCTTTGGGGGATCCCAGGTGTTTGGGATCAGGGGATCCAGGTGTTTGGGATTTGGGATCCCAGGTGTTTGGGATGGGGGGGATCCAGGTGTTTGGGATGGGGGTGACCTTGGATTTTGGGGTCCCAGGTGTTTGGGATCAGCAATCCCAGGTGTTTGGGACTGGGATTCCCAGGTGTTTGGGATTAGGGATCCAGGTGTTGAGGTTTGAGGGCCTCTGAATTTTTTAGGGGACCCAAACATCCATCCGAGGTCTCAGGTACCACGGATTTGGGGTCCCAGGTGTCAGGGACTGGGGGGGGCCAGGTGTTTGGGATCCAAGTATTTGGAATTTGGGATCCCAGGTGTCCAGGACTGGGGGTCCCCATTGCCAGGGATTGGGAGACCCCAGATTTTGAGGTCCCGGGCATCAGAATTGGGGGTTCCTGGATTTTGGGGAGACCCAAACGTGCCAGGTGTTTGGGATTGGGGGATCCCAGGTGCTGGGATGGGGGGATCCAGGTGTTTGGGATGGGGGGACCCTGGATTTTGGGGGTCCCAGCTGTTTGGGATTGGGGATCCCAGGTGTTTGGGATCCCAGGTGTTGTGTCGGAATTTGGGGTCCCAGGTGTTTGGGATTTGGAGTCTCAGGCGTTTGGGATTGGGGTCCCGAGTGTTTGGGTTTTGGGGCTGCAGGGCTGGGGGGTGCCCAGGGCCCCTGATTTGGGGTTTGGGGTTCAGGTGGTCCCTGCACCCCAAGGGCTGAGTGGGGCACAGAGGTGGGGACGAGGGACCCCATTTGGGGTTCCCTGACCCTATTCGGGGTTCATGGAGCCCATTTGGGGTCCACTGACTTATTTGGGGTTCCCTGACCCCATTTGGGGTTCCAGGGCTGATCCAGGGGGTGCCGCCGTTTGGGCTGGCACAGCAGGACTGGATGTTTGGGGTACCTTGGGTGTTATGGGGTTCCCCGGGTGTTTTGGGGTTCCCTGATCACATTTGGGGTTCTGTGCCCCCCAGGGCTGATCCGGGGGGCACTGCCGTTCGGGCTGGCGCGCCGGGAGCTGGCGTGCGAGGGGTACCCGCTGGAGCTGCGCTGCCCCGGCAGCGACGTCGTCCTGGTGGCCGACGCCAACTACGGCCGGACCGACGACAAAATCTGCGACGCCGACCCCGGGCAGATGGCGAACGTGCAGTGCTACCTGCCCCAGGCGCAGCCCATCATGGCCCAGAGGTGACACTGGGGGACTGGGGACACTGGGGACATTGGGGATTGTGGGGACACTGGGGGACACTGGGGGCACTGGGGATGGTGGGGACACTGGGGACATTGGGACATCAGGGACCCCAGGCAGATGGCGAACGTGCAGTGCTACCTGCCCCAGGCACAGCCCATCATGGCCCAGAGATGACACGGGGGACACTGGGGACAGAGGGGGTATTGGACACTGTGGGTATTGGGGACATTGGGGCCATTGGGGACATTGGGAGAACTGGGGACACTGGGGACATTGGAGACACTGAAGGGCATTGGGGACACTGGGGACATTGGGGGGGACATGGGGACATCAGGACCCCAGGCAGATGGCGAACGTGCAATGTCACTTGCCCCAGGCACAGCCCACCATGGCCCAGAGGTGACACTGGGGGAATGGGGACACTGGGGACATTGGGGACACTGGGGACACTGGGGACAGAGGGGGTATTGGACACTTTGCGGGTATTGGAGACATCGGGGGTATTGGGGACATTGGGGTCGTTGGGGACATTGGGAGAATTGGGGACGCTGGGGACATTGGAGACACTGAAGGGCATTGGGGACACTGGGGACACTGGGGACATTGGGGGGACATGGGGACATTGGGGACCCCAGGCAGATGGCGAACGTGCAGTGCTACCTGCCCCAGGGACAGCCCATCATGGCCCAGAGGCGACACAGGGGGACTGGGGACACTGGGGATGGTGGGGACATTGGGGACATTGAGGGCATTGGAGACACTGGGGACATTGGAGACACTGGGGACACTGGGGGCATTTGGGGACATTGGCAACATTGGTGAAACTGGGGACATTGGGGACATTGGAGATGCTGAAGCACATTGGGGGTACTGGGGACATTGGGGACACTGGGGATATCAGGACAGTGGGGACATTGGGGCATTGTGGCACTGGGGACATTGGGGACATTGGGGCATTTGGGGGCATTGGTGGCATTGGGGACACTGGGAGTATTGAGAACATTGGGGACATTGGGAACAATGGGGACACTGGGGTCATTGGGACATTTGGGACGTTGAGGGCATTGGAGACATTGGGGGCATTGGTGGCACTCAGGGCAATGGGGTCATTGGGGACATTTGGGGACATTGGAGGAATTTGGGATACTGGGGATATTGGGGGGGTTGGTGACATTGGGGACATTGGGGACACTGGGGACATTGAGGGCATTGGGGACATTGGGGAGGTGCAGGAGGTTGGGGACATTGGAGAGGTGCAGGAGGTTGGGGACATGGTGACGGGAACACAGCAACGGGCGTGGGGACATGGGGACAGAGGGACAGGAGGGGACATGGGGACAGGGCTGTGCAGGGACATGGGGACATTGTGGGGACACAGGGACAGGGGCGGGACATGGGGACACTGTGGGGCACCAGGGACCTGGCCCTGCACGTGATGGCACGGAGGAGACATGGGGGTGACACCGTGACACGGGGGGACATGGGCACATGCAGGGGACATGTGGAAGGCTGGGGACACCTTGGGGACATGGGGACAGGCACACAGGAGAGTGGGACATGGGGGAGCAGGGACGTGTGCTGGGGACTTGGGGACACATGGGGACATGGCCCCGTGGTGACGTGGTGGGGGGGACAGGCAGGACGTGGGGACACCTGGGGACAGTTGGAGGCGTGGAGGTGGCACTGAGGGGACACTGAGGGACACATGGGGTGGGTGGCCGTGGGTGAGCATGGGGACAGCATGGGGGTGGCACAGCTCAGCTCGAGGATGTCCCTGTGTCCCTACGGTGTCCCCTCCCACCCCAGGGACATCGGTGGTGGCACCTGAGTCCTGTGTCCCCAAGTGCCAGGGCCACACCTGTGCCCTGCCCATGTCCCCACTGTCCCCACTGTCCCTGTGTCCCCATGTCCCCTGTGTCCCGTGTCCTGTGTGTCCCCACTGTCCTGCTGTCCCCATGCCCCCAGCCCCATGTCTCTGTGTCCTGTGTGTCCCTATGTCCCCATGTCCCCTCATGTGTCCCCCGTGTCCCCCATGTCCCCTGTGTCCCCGTGTCCCCTGTGTCCCTATGTCCCCCTGTGTCCCCCCTGCTGTCCCCTGCTGTTCCCTCATGTCCCCCTTGTGACCCCCCACTGTCCCCCAGTGTCCCATGTCCCTCTGTGTCCCTGATGTGTCCCCCTGTCTGTGACATATCCCCATGTCCCTGACATGTCCCTGATGTGTCCCTGTGTTCCCACTATCCCGTGTCCCTGCCGTGTCCATGACATGTCCCTGACATGACCCCATGTCCCCCGCTGTGTCTGCCGTGTCCTCCCATGTCCCCGCCGTGTCCCTGCCGTGTCCCTGACGTGTCCCCGTGTCCCCAGGTGCAATAACCGCACTCAGTGCGTGGTGGTCGCCGGCTCCGACGCCTTCCCCGACCCTGCCCGGGCACCTACAAATACCTGGAGGTGCAGTACGACTGCGTGCCCTACAGTGAGTGCTGCCCCATGGATCCTGACCCATAGCCCTGCCCCATAGATCCCATCCTGCCCCATAGATCCTGACCCACAGCTCCCCAGAGCCACCCCAGCCCCTACAAATACCTGGAGGTGCAGTACGACTGCGGTGCCCTGCAGTGAGTGCTGCCCCATGGATCCTGACCCACAGCTCTGCGCCACAGCTCTGCCCCACAGATCCCATCCTGCCCACAGATCCCATCCTGCCCCACAGATCCCATCCTGCCCCATAGCCCGGCCCCACAGCTCCCCAGAGCCACCCCTGTCTCAGTCCCTACAAATACCTGGAGGTGCAGTACGACTGCGTGCCCTGCAGTGAGTGCTGCCCCATAGATCCCATAGATCCCATCCTGCCCCACAGCTCTGCCCCACAGCTCTGCGCTGTCCTGCCCCACAGCACCCCCAGTCCTGGCACCTATAAGTACCTGGAGGTGCCATTGGTCCCCCACAGGGATTGCTGCCCCACAGCTCTGCCCCATAGCCCTGGCCCATAACCGTGCCCCAATGGCTCTGCCCCATGGCTCTGCCCCACAGCTCTGCCCCATAACCCTGTTCAGACCCACAGCTGTGCCCACAGCCCTGCCCTATAGACCCTGCCCATAGCTCGGCCCCACAGTGCCCCCACAGCCCCACAGCACCCAGAGGTGCACCTGGGGAGTTCTGCCCCACAGCACCCAAGGGGCCCCACAGTGTCCCAGTGTCCCACCCTGCAGCACCCAAGGGACCCCACAGGGACCCCACAGTGTCCCCATGTCCTGCCCCACAGCACCCATGGGCACCCCACAGGGATCCCACAATGCCCCCCTGTCCTACCCCACAGCACCCAAGGAGCCCCATGGAGCCCCATAGGGACCCCGCAGCCCCCCAGGACCCCCAGCCCCCAACTCTGGGGGCACCATTGGGGTGTGGGGTGGGACTGGGGGGGTCTCAGGAAGCCCCCAGGTGTGTGTGGGGGGGGGGTCGGGGGGGGGTTGTGCCCCCCTGGGTCCCCCCGTGTCGCGTTTGTCCCCCCAGGCCGGGCTGTGACCCCCCGGTGCAGGCGCTGTGACCCCCAGCCCCGGGGGGCTCTGTGTGACCCGGGGGTCCCGGGGGGTTTTGGGGTGACCCCGTCTCTCCCCAGGCGCCGTCGCGGGACCCCCAGAACCCCCCCGGCCCCTCCCCCGTTTTGCTTTGCAGCCGCCGCCGGAGCCGCCCGAGGGAGCGGCCGGACAGGGCCGGACACGGCACCGGGATACGGCACGGGCACGGGGACACGGCACGGGCACGGCAGGGACGCGGCCAAAACACAACAAAAACACACCCAAAACATGGCCAGAACCATGCGAAAAACACACCAAAACACACCAAAAACATGGCAAAAAACACGGCAAAACCACACCAAAACCACGCCAAAAACATGGCAAAACCACGGCAAAACACGGCACGGACACAGCAAAAACACAGCAAAAACATGGTAAAAAACACGGCAAAAAACACAGCAAAACCACGCCAAAAACATGGCAAAAAACACGGCAAAAAACACAGCAAAACCACACCAAAAACATGGCAAAAAACATGCAAAAAACACGGCAAAAACACAGCAGGAACACGGCATAAACACACCAAAACCACAGCAAAATACATGCAAAAACACAGCAAAAACATGGCACGGACACAGCAGAAACACAACAAAACCATGGCAAAAACATGGCAAAACCACACCAAAACCACACCCAAAACATGGCAAAAAACACGGCAAAACACGGCACGGACACAACAAAAACACACCAAAAACACGGCAAAAAACATGGCCAGAACCATGCAAAAAACACAGCAAAAACAGGGCAAAAAACATGCAAAAAACACAGCAAAACCACAACAGGAGCACAGCAAAAACACACCAAAAACACGGCAAAAACATGCAAAAAACACGGCAAAAACACACCCAAAGCATGGCAAAAAACATGCAAAAAACCTGGCAAAAACACAGCAGGAACATGGCAAAACTACAGCAAAAACACAGCAGGGACACGGCAGGGACAGGGCAAAAACATGGCCAAAACCATGCAAAAAACATGACAAAAACATGGCAGGAAAAGGGCAGGAAAATGTGAAAAACACAGCAAAAACAGGGCAGGAACACAGCAGGAACACACGAAAAACATAGCAAAGGCACACTAAAAACAAGGCCAAAACCATGCAAAAACCATGGTAAAACCATGGGAGGAACACGGCAGGAACATGTGAAAAACACAGCAAAAACACGCAAAAAACACATGGAAACCATGGCAACACCATAGCAGCAACAGGGCAGAAACATGGCCAAAAACATAGAAAAATCGTGGCAGGAACACGTGAAAAACACAGCAAAAATCACTCAAAAACCACATAAAGACCATGGCAAAAACGCAGGAAAAACATGGCAGGAACAGGACAGGAACACGCAAAAACCAATGAAAACCATGGCAAAAACATGGTGAAACCATGCAAAAACCATGGCAAAATACCAAAAAACATGGCCAAAACCATGGCAAGAACCATGGCAAAAACACGCAAAACCTACACCAAAAATGCACCAAAACCATGGTCAAATTACACCAAAATCATGGCAGGAACACGCAAAAACCACGGCAAAACAACACCAAAAACAAGCAAAACCATGCAAAAACCATGGCATAACCATGCAAAAACCACACCAAAGCTAGACTAAAACCGTGGCAAAACCACACCGTAACTATGGCAAAAACATGCGAAAACACACCAAAACCAGACCAAAACCATGGCAAAACGACACCAAAAACACGGCTAAAACCACGGCAAAAACCATGGCATAAGCACGCAAAATCCACAGCAAAACCACCCCAAAATCCACACCAAAACCATGGCCAAAACCACAGCAAAACCACCCAAAAACCGCGCCCAAAATGCCCCAAAACCACAGAAGGAGCGCGGCACAGCCACACCTGGGCCAGCCCTCACCTGGGCAGGGAAACACAGCTGGATAAATAAACACAGCTGGAGAAATAAACACAGCTGGATAAATAAACACATCTGGATAAATAAACACAGCTGGGGTGTGTAAACACACCTGGACAGGTAGCCACGCGTGGCCAGGTGAACACATCTGGACAGGGAAACACATCTGGGCAGGGAAACACACCTGGGGCTGGTAAATTCACCTGGTCAGGTAAACACAGCTGGATAAATAAACACACCTGGGCAGGTAACCACGCATGGCCAGGTGAACACACCTGGGCAGGGAAAACACACCTGGATAAATAAACACACCCGGGCAGGTAAACACAGCTGGGCAGGTAACGACACATGGTCAGATGAACACATCTGGGCAGATAAACTCACCTGGGGCTGGTAAATTCACCTGGGCAGGTGAACACACCTGGGCAGGGAAACATATCTGGATAAATAAACACACCTGGGGTGTGTAAACACACCTGGTCAGGTAACCACACATGGCCAGATGAACACACCTGGTCAGGGAAACACACCTGGGGCAGATTATCACACCTGGGGCAGATAAACACACATGGCCAGGTGAACACATCTGGACAGGCTTAACGCACCTGGGCTGGTAAATTCACCTGGGCAGGGAAACACAGCTGGATAAATAAACACACTTGGGCAGGTGAACACACCTGGGGCAGATAAATTCACCAGGGCAGGTAAATACACCTGGACATGCTAAGGACACGACGAACACCTGAGTGTGTGATGTGTGTGCTAAATGCACACCTGGTGTGAGTTAAACACACCTGGGCACGCTCAGGACACACCCAGCTCACACCTGTGTGTGCTAAATGCACACCTGGTGTGGGTTAAACACACCTGGGCACACACACACACACTCACACACACTCATACACTCACACTCACACTCACACACTCACACTCACACACACACACACACACACTCACACACACTCATACACTCACACTCACACACACACACACTCACATTCACACACACCACACACACACACACACACTCACACACACACTCACACACACTCATACACTCACACTCACACACACACACTCACACACACACTCATGCACACACACTCACACACACTCACACACACACACTCACACACACTCATACACCCACACTCACACACACTCACACTCACACACACACTCACACCACACACTCACACTCATGCACTCACACTCACACACACACTCACACACACACTCACACACACACACACACTCACTCACACTCACACACTCACACTCGCACACACACTCACACTCACACTCACACACTCACACACTCACACACTCACTCACACTCAGTGCACACTCACACTCAGTGCACACTCACATTCACACTCAGTGCACACTCACACTCACACACACACACACTCCCACACTCACTCACACACATTCACACACTCACACAGACACACTCACACTCGCACACTCACACACTCACGCTCACACTCACACTCAGTGTACACTCACTCACACACTCACACTCACACACACACACTCCCACACTCACACTCACACTCACACTCAGTGCACACTCACACTCACACTCAGTGTACACTCACTCTCACACACTCACACTCACACACACACTCACACACTCACACACTCACACTCAGTGCACACTCACACTCACACTCACACACTCACACACTCACACACTCACACTCAGTGCACACACACACTTACACTCACACACTCGCACTCACACTCAGTGCACACTCACACTCACACTCACACTCGGTCCCTGCCGCTCGGGGGGCGTGTCCATCCGGGGTGGGGGAGGGGCGGGGCCGCCTCTTTCCTTTGCAGGAGCCGCTGGAGCCCCGCCCCCCCCCCGCGCCCCTCCCCCATCGCCGTCTCTCTCTGCAGGGCGGGGGGAGGGGCGGGGGGGGCAGGAGAGCGGGGGAGGGGAGCCCTGCGACCCCCCGTGTGTCCGTCTGTCCCCGTGTCCGTCTGTCCCCGTGTCTGTCCCCGTGTCCCCGTGTCCGTCTGTCCATCCATCCCCTCTGTCCATCTTCCCCACCCAGCCGTCCCCATCCCCCCCTTTCCGTGTCCGTCCGTCTGTCCCTCTGCAGCTCCCTCTGTCCCTCCTTCCCCTCCCATCGACTTTTCCCCATTTCTGTCCCTCTGTCCCCCTGTCCATCTGTCCCTCTGTCCCTCTGTCCCTCTGTCCCTCTGTCCCACTCTTTGCCGTCCCTCTGTCCGTCCTCCTGCCCGTCCTTGTGTCCATCTGTCCATCCATCGTCCCTTCTGCTGTGTGTCCGTCCCTCCATCCCTCCACGTCCCCCTTGTTCCTCTGTCCATCCCCGTGTCCATGTGTCCGTCCCCATGTCCATCCATAGATCCCGTGTCCATCTGTCCATCTGTCCATGTGTCCATCCCGTGTCTGTCTGTCCTTTCTGTGTCCGTGTGTCCATCCCCATGTCTATCCCGTGTCCGCGTGTCCGTCTTGCGTCTGTCCGTCCATCCCATGTCCGTTTGTCCGTGTGTCCGTTCTGTGCCCATCTGTCCATCCCATGTCCATCCTTGTGTCCGTGTGTCCGTCCTCGGATCCATCCTCTTGTCCGTCCCATATCCCTCTGTCCATCCCTTGTCCATCTGTCCGTGCGTCCATCCCATGTCCGTGCGTCCATCCTGTGTCCGTGTGTCCATCCCATGTCCGTCCATGTGTCCATCCCTGTGTCCGTGTGTCTGCCCTGTGTCCATGTGTTTGTGTGTCCATCCCATGTCTGTGTGTCCCTCCCTGTGTCCATCTGTCCATCTGTCCATGTGTCCATCTCAATGTCCATCTGTCCGTGTGTCCATCCCATGTCCATGTGTCCATCTGTCCATCTGTCCTTGTGTCCACCCCCGTGTCTGTGTGTCCATCTGTCCGTGTGCCCATGTGCCCATCCCGTGTCCCCGTGTCCATCTGTCCATCTCTGTGTCCATCTGTCCATGTCTGTGTCCATCTGTCCATGTGTCTGTGTGTCCGTCCCATGTCCGTGTGTCCGTCTGTCCGTGTGTCTGTGTGTCCATCCCGTGTCCCCGTGTCCGTGTGTCCGTGTGTCCATCTGTCCGTGTGTCCATCTGTCCGTGTGTCCGTGTGTGGGTCCCACTCCCCCCGCAGGGTTTGGGGGTTCCCGGGGGGTTTCGGGGTCCCCCCGGGCTGGGGGGGGCCGGAGCCGTTTAATCTCTCTTCTCTTTGTCTCCTCTCTCGCCCCTCCCCCCCCCCTCCCCTCCCCCTCCCCCCCGCCCGTGTGACCCCGCCCCTCCCCCCCACCCCCCTCCTGCCCCTCCCCCTCCCGCCCCTCCCCCCCCCCCCCCCCCCCGCTCTCTCCCGCCTTTTCTTCCGGTGCTAAAAATAGAAGTGGAACAAAAAGGTAACACGGACCCCCCGCTCCGGCCCCCCCCAAACCCCCAAACCCTCCTGACCCCCCAAACCCCATCCCGAACCCCCCAAACCCTCCTGATCCCTCCCCAGAGCCCCCTAAAACTTCCCGCGCCCCAACCCACCCCAAACCCCGCCCCCAACCCCACCCCCCACCTCTGAACCCCCAAACCCCTCCCAGCCCCCCAACCTCACCCCACCGCCCCCAAAGCCCCCCTGCCCCCCCCTTGTTCCTGCCCCCCAAAATCCCCCCAAATCCCTCCCCCCTTCCAGAGTGACCCCAAATCCTGCCCCTCCCCCAACCCCCTCCCCCACCCCAAATCCTGACCCGCCCCTCCCCCCGAAATCCCTCTGCTCCCCCCACCCCCTCTGCCCCCCCCCCAATTCCTCCCGGCCCCCCCTCCCCCATCCCCTGACCCCGAACCCCCCAAATCCTCCCCAACCCCCCCCTCCCCCCCTTTCCCCTCCCCCCCTTTCCCCTCCCCCCCCTTGTTTCCCCTCCCCCCCAGGTCCCCAACACCGTGGGGGGGGTCAGTGCCCCCCCCATTAATTACCTCTCATTAAATGGGGGGGACCCCCAGACCCCCCCCATCCCCTCGGGGGTCCCCGGGACCCCCCAAAGTGCCCCGAGCCCCCCCAGGGACCCCCAAACCTTGGGGACCCCCTGAGGTGTCCCCACCCCAGCCCCCCCCCAGAGTTTGGGGGGGCCCCTCCTCCCCCTCAGGTCACCCCCAAAATGATGGGGGGGGGAGGGGCAGCCCTGGGACCCCCCGGTCCCTCTGACCCCCCCAAATCAAAGAGCTCCCCAAAAATAACCCCCCAAAATTAACCCCAAAAATAAATAACCCCAAAAATAAATCACCCCAAAAATAAAATAAATCACCCCAAAAATAATCCCGAGGGACAGCTCGGGGGGGCGGGGCAGTGCCGGGGTCAGCAAAGGTCAGTCGGGGTCAGCTGAGGTCAGTCGGGGTCACTCAGGGCTCACTCAGGGTCAGTCAGGGTCAGTTTGGGGTCGGGGTGCAGCTGCGGATCAGTTTGGGCCAGTTTGGCTCAGTTTGGGTCATTTGGGATAGTTGGGGTCAGTTGGGGTCACTCAGGGGTCAGTCAGGGTCAGTTTGGGTCATTTGAGATCATTGGGGTCACTCAGGGTCAGTTTGGGGCAGTTTGGGGCAGTCAGGGTCAGTTGGGGTCAGTTGGGGTCAGTTGGGGTCACTCAGGGTCAGTTGGGGTCAGTTGGGGTCAGCTGAGGTCACTCAGGGTCCATTTGGGTCACTTTGGGGTCAGTTTTGGGTTGGGGTGCAGCCGTGGGTCAGTTTGGGTCATTTGGGGTCAATAAAGGTCAATTGGGGTCAGTTGGGGTCAGTTTGGTCACTCAGGGTCAGTTTGGGGCAGTTTGGGGCAGTTTGGGTCGCTCAGGGTCAGTTTGGGGCAGTTTGGGGCAGTTTGGGGCAGTTTGGGTCACTCAGGGTCAGTTTGGGGCAGTTTGGGGCGGTTTGGGGCAGTTTGGGTCACTCAGGGTCAGTTTGGGTCAGTTTGGGGCAGTTTGGATCAGTTTGGGGCAGTTTGGGGCAGTTTGGGTCACTCAGGGTCAGTTGGGGTGAGTTTGGGGCAGTTTGGGGCAGTTTGGGGCAGTTTGGGGCAGTTTGGGTCGCTCAGGGTCAGTTTGGGGCAGTTTGGGTCATTTGGGATAATTGGGGTCAGTTGGGTCACTCAGGGTAAGTTCAGGGTCACTCAGGGGTCACTCAAGGGTCAGTTTGGGGTCACTCAGAGGTCACTCAGGGGTCACTCCGGGGTCACAGCCAGGGCGTCGCCCCCGTGTCCGTCTGTCCGTCCGTGCGGGAAGGAGGGGGGGGGAGGGGCGGGGGCGGTGACTGGGGGAGGGCGTGGCCGGGGCGGGGCGGGGCCTGCGGGCAGCAGGGGGCGGGGCCGGGGGCGGGGCCGCGGCTTCTTCCCACAGGTGCCGGAGCGGGGGGCGGGGCCTAACGTGTCTCTCTCCTCCTCCTCCTCCCGCAGGGCCCGGCCACGCCCCCCCGGACCGCGGGGCCCCCCCGAGCCTGTGAGTCTCCCCTCCCCCACCCTCCCGGGGACCCCCGAACACCCCGAAAAACCCCGGGGGAAAAGGGGGGGCTGCGGCACGGCCGGGCGGCACACCTGGACACAGCTGGATGGACACAGCTGGATCTGGGCGCACCTGGATGGGCACAGCTGGATCCGTGTGCACACCTGGGCACAGCTGGATCCATGGGCACAGCTGGATGGGCACAGCTGGATCTGTGTGCACACCTGGATGGGCACAGCTGGACACAGCTGGATTCGTGTGCACACCTGGATGGGCTCACCTGGATCCGTGTGCACACCTGGATGGGCACAGCTGGATTTGTGTGCACACCTGGGCACAGCTGGATCCCGGGCACAGCTGGGCACACCTGGATCCGTTTGCACACCTGGATGCACACAGCTGGATCCTTGTGCATACCTGGGTTGTGCACACCTGGGCACACCTGGATCCTGGGTGCACCTGGATGGGCACATCTTGATGGGCACAGCTGGATCCTGGGCACACCTGGGTCCTTGTGCACACCTGGGCTCACCTGGATAGGCTCACCTGGGCAGGCTCACCTGGGCATACCTGGATCCGTGTGCACGCCTGGGCTGTGCACACCTGGATGGGCACACTTGGATGGGCACACCTGGGCCCTTGTGCACACCAGGATGGGCACATCTGGATGGGCTCACCTGGATCCCGGGCTCAGCTGGATCCGTGTGCACACCTGGATCCATGGGCACACCTGGGCGCACCTGGATGGGCTCACCTGGATCCTGTGCACACCTGGATGGGCTCACCTGGATGGGTTCACCCAGATGTGCACACCTGGATGGGTTCACCGGAATGGGCTCACCTGGATCCTTGTGCATACCCAGGCTGTGCACACCTGGGCACACCTGAGCTGTGCACACCTGGGCACATCTGGGACTGTGCACACCTGGTGCCCATGCTCACAGGTGCCCGTGCACACCTGGATCCAGCTGCACGTCCAGGTGTGCCCCCTGCACACGCAGCCCCCGCGGCCCCCCTGCACACGCGTGTGCGACGGGGCACAGGTGGGGCAGCGCACGCACCTGGGCAGGTGTAACAATGACACACACCTGGGCAGGTATGACAGTGACACACACCTGGGCAGATGTGACAGGGACACACAGGCACACACACCTGGGCAGGTGTGACAGTGACACACACCTGGGCAGGTGTGACAGGGACACACACCTGGGCAGGTGTGACAGGGAGACACACCTGTGTGAACACAAACACTCAGGAAGATGTGACAGGGACACAGTGACACACAGCTGGCCAGGTGTGACAGGGGACACACCTGGGCAGATTTAACAATGACACACACCTGGGCAAGTGTGACAGGGACACACCTGTGTGAGCACCATCACTCAGGAAGGTGTGACAGTGACACACACCTGGGCAGCTGTAACAATGACACGCACCTGGGCAGGTGTGACAGTGACACACACCTGGGCAGGTGTGACAGTGACACGCACATTGAGCTTGCACAGGTAACGACCACAGGTGTGAACACAGAGTGACGCAGGTGTGGCAGCCCTCTCACACCTGAGTGTGCAAATGTGCTGCTGCCTGAACACACCTGGGCACACCTGAACACACCTGTGCACACACCTGGGCTCACACCTGGGCTCACACTTGTGCACACCTGTGCACACACCCTCACAACCCACCGTGCAAACTCACGGCCAGGTGAACACATGCCCACATGCGTGAGCAAATGGGCTCACACAGGTGTGTGTGTGGCTGCACAGGTGTGCACAGGTGTGTGTGGCTGCACAGGTGTGTGCACCCCTAGAATGGAGGGAGGTGTGCTCACACCTGTTCACATGTGCACACGTGAACACACCTGTGCTCATCTGCGCACACCTGTGCACAGACCTGTTCTCACACCTGTGTGCACCGCTGTGCTCAGCTTTTCACAGCTTTGTACACCTGGGCTCACACTTGTGCACACACATGTGTCACACCTCTGCACACCTGTGCTCACATATTTGCACACCTGTGCCACACCTGTGCTGACATATTTGCACACCTGTGCACACACCTGTGTCACACCTGTGCTCACATATTTGCACATAGCTCTGTCACACCTGTGCTCAGCTTTGCACACCTCTGCTCACATCTGTGCACACCTGTATGCTCACACCTGTGCTCACACTTGTGCACACACCTGAGCTCACACCTGTACACACCTGTGCACACCTGTGCTCACATATTTGCACACCTGTGTCACACCTGTGCACACACCTGAGCTCACACCTGCACACATATTTGCACACCTGTGCACACATATTTGCACACCTGCTCACACCTGTGTCACACCTGTGCCGCCCCGCACACGCGCGTCTGTCCCGGCCCTCCCCCTCGTGCCGCGCCCCGGCGGGGGGCGTGGCCAGGCTGAGGGGGCGTGGCCAGGCTGAGGGGGCGTGGCCAGCGTGGCACTGGGGGGGTCCCAGCCTGGCCCCGCCCCCAGGGGGGCCCCATCCCCCCCCCCCGCGCAGAGACCCCTGTGGGGGCGGGGCTTTGGGGCGGGGTTTGGGGTTTGTGGGCGGGGTCTCTGCTCCGGGGGTCCCCCCGTGTCCCCTCCCCGTGTCCCCCCCCCCTGTCCCCGTTCTCTCCCGCAGCTCTAACCCCCCCGTTTCTCTCCCCCAGCCTCTCTGCAGCGCCAGCGGACACCGGGACCCACGCGCGACCCCCGAACCCCCCCCAGGCCCCCAAAACCGGGGGGGTCCCCCCAAACCCCCCCCAGCACCGGGGGGACCCCCCCGAGCCCCCCCAAACCCCCCCCCCCCCGTGTTTCGGTCGCGCTCGATCGTCCCTGGCTGTGGGCCCGGGGGGGGAGGGGAGGAGCCCCCCCATTTAGGGCCCCCCCCATTTAGAGCGCCCCCATTTAGGGCCCCCCCGATTTGAGCCCCCCCGATTTGAGCCCCCCCCGTTTTAGGGCTCCTCCCCCACGCAGAGCTGCCCCGCCCCCCTCAGGGTGACCCCCCCCCCCCCCCCATTAAAGGGGTCCCGGGTTGGCGGGGGGGGCTCGGCCCCCCCTTGTCGCCATTGCCGGGGACAGTCGGGGTGTGTCCCCCCCCCCAAATCCCCCCCCTTCTGTCCCCTCCCCTCTGTCCCCTCCCCCGATAAGGGACCCCCCCTCCCCCCCTCCCCCCCCACCCCCCGTGTCCCGCCCCCTCCCCCGGGTCCCCAAAATCCCCCCGGGGTTGGGGTCCGCCCCCAGCCCCCCCGTGGGACCCCCCAGTCGCTGATGGAACGCTTCTCTTTTCTCTCCTCTTCTCGCTGTGTCCCCCCCGTGTCCCCCCCCGTGTCCCCATCCCCCTCTGCCCCCCCATTGTCACCCCCCTCTGTCCCCCATTGCCCCCGTGTCCCCATGTCTGTCCCCTCCCCGTGTCCCCCGCCCGTGTCCCCATCCCCCTTCTGTCCCCTCACTGACACCCCTCCATTGTCACCCCCCCATCGCCACCCCCCCATCGCCACCCCCTCACTGTCCCTCGGTCCCCCATTGCCCCCCGTGTCCCCTGGTCCGTCTGTCCCCTCCCCGTGTCCCCTCCTGTTCTCCCCGTGTCCCCATCCTTCTTCTGTCCCCTCACTGCCACCTCCCCATTGCCACCACCTCCATTGCCACCCGCGACCTGTCCCTCTGTCCCCCATGGCCCCCATGTCCTCATGTCTGTCCCCTCCCGTGTCCCTGTGTGCCTCCACGCCTGTCACCGTGTCCGTCTGTCCCCACGCCCGTCACCATGTCCATCTGTCCCCTGTCCCCATCCCTGTCACCGTGTCCGTCTGTCCCCCCGTCCATCCCTGTCCCCTGTGTCCATCCCCGTGTCCTCGTGTCTGTCCCCTCTTCCATCCATCCATCTGTCCCCTGTGTCCCCGTCTGTCCGCGTCTGTCGCTCCGTCCCTGTGTCTGTCCCCCCGTCCATCCATCCCTGTGTCCGTGTGTCTGTCCCCAAACCCATTCCCGTCCCTTCTCCATCCCTGTGTCCGTGTGTCTGTCCCCGTGTCCCTCCCCCATCCCTCTCCTGTCCCCATCCCTCTCTATGTCCCGCTGCCTGTCCCCCCATCCACCCGTGTCCCCTGTCTGTCCCCACTCTCCCATTGTCCCTCTCTGTCCCTCCCCGTGTCCCTCCCTGTGTCCCTCTGTCTGTCCCACCCACCCATTGTCCCTCCCTCCGTCCCTCCCCGTGTCTCCCCTTGTCCCCTCGTGTCCCCATGTCCCTCCCTGTGTCCCTCTGTCTGTCCCACTCTTCCCGCGTCCCCGTGTCCCTCTGTCCCTCCCCGTGTCCTCGTGTCGCCCTATCTGTCCTCCCCATGTCCCCCTGTCCTCTGTCCCCCCGTCCCTCCCCTGTCCTCCTGTCTGTCCCTCCCTCCCTCCCTCCTCGTGTCCCCATGTCCCTCCCCATGTCCCTCCCCGTGTCCCCTGTCCGTCCCTCCTTCCCCGTGTCCCCATGTCCTTCCCCGTGTCCCTCCCCCTATCCATCCCCGTGTCCCCCTCTCTGTCCCCGTGTACCTCCGTCCCTCCCCGTGTCCCCCTGTCCATCCCTCCGTCCCTCCCCGTGTCCCCCTGTCTGTCCCCTGTCCCCCCGTCCCTCCCCGTGTCCCCCTGTCTGTCCCCCGTCCCCTCCCTGTGTCCCCTGTCTGTCCTTCCGTCCCTCCCCGTGTCCCCCTGTCCAACCCTCCCCGTCCCTCCCCGTGTCCCCCTGTCTGTCCCTCCGTCCCTCCCCGTGTCCCCTTGTCTGTCCCCTGTCCCCCCGTCCCTCCCCGTGTCCCCTTGTCCATCCCCCCTGTCCCCCCGTCCCTCCCCGTGTCCCCCTGTCTGTCCCCCCGTCCCTCCCCGTGTCCCTCCCGCAGTTTTCGTCTGCCCGGGCGTGCCGCAGCGCGTGGGTCCGGCGCTGTCCACGCACGAGTCTCCGCACCAGGCGGGCGGCTGGTGCCGGGACCCGCTGCAGTCGGGGGACCGGCTCTACGTGCTGCCGTGGGTGCCGTACCGCACGGACACGCTCACCGAGTACGCGTCCTGGGCCGACCTGGTGGGCGCCCGGCCCGCGGCCACGCACCGGCTGCCGCACCGCGCCGACGGCACCGGCTTCGTGGTGTACGACGGCGCCGTGTTCTACAACAAGGAGCGCACCCGCAGCATCGTCAAGTACGACCTGCGCACCCGCATCAAGAGCGGCGAGACCGTGGTGGGCGCCGCCAACTATCACGACACGTCGCCCTATCGCTGGGGCGGCAAGACCGACATCGACCTGGCCGTGGACGAGGAGGGGCTCTGGGTCATCTACGCCACCGAGGGCAACGGCGGGCGCCTGGTGGTGAGCCAGCTGAACCCCTACACGCTGCGCCTGGAGGGCACCTGGGAGACCGGCTACGCCAAGCGGGCGGCCTCGGACGCCTTCATGGCCTGCGGGGTGCTCTACGTGGTGCGCAGCGTTTACCTGGACGACGACACGGAGCACCTGGGCAACGCCCTGGTCTACGCCTTCGACACGCGGCGCGGGCGCGGCTCGGCGCTGGCGCTGCCCTTCCCCAACCCGTACCAGTTCGTGGCCTCGGTGGGCTACAACCCCCGCGACAACCAGCTGTACGTGTGGAACAACCACTTCCTGCTGCGCTACGGGCCTCGACTTCGCGCCCCTCGACGGCGACGGTCAGCGGGGAGGGGGGATGTGGGGCGGGGGGTGCCGGGGTTTGGGGTGGGGAGGGTTTGGGGTGCGGCCGGGGGGCTGCGGGAGAGGTGGGGAGATGCTTTGGGGGGAGCGTCTGGGGCCGGGAGGAGCCCTGGGGGTCTCGGTTGGATTCGTGGAGGGAGACCTGGGGGTCCCGGTTTATTCTGGGGGTCCCAGTTTATTTTGGGGGAAGCCCCGGGGGTCCCCGGTTTGCTGTGAGGGAGCCCTGGGGGTTCCAGTTATTCTGGGGGAGCCCTGGGGGTCTCCGTTGGTTCTGGGGACAGCCCTGGGGGTCCTGGTTTGATTTGAGGGCAGCCCTGGGGGTCCTGGTTTGATTTGGGGGTGCAGCCCCAAATATCTGAGAAGAGCCCTGAGAGTCCCAGTTTATTTTTGGGGGAGCCCTGGGGGTCCTGGTTTGATTTGGGGGGAGCCCTGGGGGTCCCAGTTTATTTTGGGGGAACGCTGGGGGTCCCGGTTTAATTTGGGGGAGCCCTGGGGGTCCTGGTTTGCTTTGGGGCTGCAGCCCCAAATATCTGGGGAGAGCTCCGAGGGTCC